TACACCTTGTTATCTCAGATTCTCCAGCATCTGCAGTTCCTACTATCTCTGCAACTTCTGATTGGCAGCTCCTTAATTGACCGCCTTGTCCAATTTTCTGCAGTTGCTCTTCTGGGTTCCTGAATCAGAATTCATCCCAATGTCGGGATTGTCATTCTAGAAGCCACGTTCAGACTTAGGTGTCTGGCTGTGAGATCAGACTCACATGGAAAACTGATAGCTGCAAATCTGTCTATGTGGAATATTATTACTGCAGGACAGAGAATATTAAAATATGAATGCAATACATCATAGAATTCCTACAGTTTGAAGTAGGCCATTCGACCCATCGAGTCCACACCAACCCCCTTTAGATCATCTCACCTAGACCCATCTCCCCTACCCTATCCCTGTATCTCCCATGGCTAATCCACCAGCCTGCATATCTTTGGACTGAGGGAGGAAACCAGAACACCTGGAGGAAACCCATGCAAACATGGAGAGAACGTGAAACTCTACACAGATAGTTGCCTGAGGACGGAATCCAACCTGGGTCCCTGGCGCTGTGAGGCAGCAGTGCTAACCACTAGTGCAGTGCATGCTCCGGATTATTAAGATCTAAATTTTTTTTAGCTTTGAATGGTTTTGCAAAGTTTTTAACAGAAATTCTGTGTGGGAAACTATCCTCAAAGATCAGAATCCTTTAGGATATTAAGTGAATTGTGTTCTTTCCTCTTGAAGACTCCCAGAAAATACTTAAATCTGCTGGTTTTCCTTTCTCTTCAAATATGAGCCGTACTCTTTGATTCACCATTTTGGGAGGAATATGATTAAAATTTTAACCACCTATTTTACAGTTAATTATTCTACTATTGATTTTTTGGATTGATTTTGTTTTGTTTAAGTGCAAGTTTTTTTTCGGTTTATAGGTTCAAAATGTCACCCAGATTGTCAAGATGGAGCCTGCTGGGGTCCAGGTTTAGAGAACTGTCAGAAATGTAAGTGTTAACTTTCCAACTACTAAGAGAAGATTCACAATTACATGTTTAAAAATCAGACAATTCTTGTGATGACTTAGTACGAGATTTCTCTTGAAAGGGTGTGGGGCACAAAGCTATTTTAGACTGTGCTTTGAGCAGACACTCGTGGACTGCTTTCACCTTCTAAAAATGCAACTAATGGTCAAATTTTAGTGCTCCACTATTTCTCAAAAGCCTACAAGATGCCTGCTCAACACAGCTGTGAAGTCAAAGTTTGCTTTTTTCAGGATTTTGATATTATGAAAGACATCTTGCTACATCATGCTCGTGATCTTTTCAGGAGGATCACAGTGCATTTCGTGGAATAGAATCATAGAATCCCTACAGTGTTGGAACAGGCCCTTCGGCCCAATAAGTCCACACCGACCGTCAGAGCATCTAGCCCAGACCCATACCCCTATAACCCACCTAACCCCCTAACCTACACATTCCTGAACACTACAGGCAATTTAGCACGGCCAATCCACCTAACTTGCACAACAAAGGGCAACATGGATGACATTGCGTCTTAAGCCACTGGAGATACAGGGAGTAAAGGAGATTAGCAGCGAATGTGATTCTACTTATGTTAAATGTTATATTAATATCATGATCTTAAATTGATGTTTAGGCCAACGTCATAAACTGATGTTTGTAGATGTACTCTAAATATCACTTCAGTTCAGTTGTTGTGAAACTGAGGTAAAGGACCGAGAAGAGTATTTGTTGAAAATGCCACCAAGATAGAAAAAATCAATAATTAATGCCAAGCTTGAGTTTTAAAGCTTGAAAATTTTTAAGTGAAGGAAAAGATTGAGGCAAGTAAAGAGTTCCTTAGCTCTGAAGTCCTGAGAACAACTTAGTCATAGAGATATATATCACAGAAACAGACCCTTCGGTCCAACTTGTCCATGCCGACCAGATATCCGAAATTAATCTAGTCCCATTTGCCAGCATTTGGCCCATAACCCTCTACCCCTTCCTATTCATATACCCATCAGATGCCTTTTAAATGTTGTAATTGTACCAGCGTTCATTAATTCTGGCAGCTCATTCCATGCACACACTACCCCCTGTATTGAAAAGTTGTCCCTTAGGTTCCTTTTAAATCTTTCCCCTCTCACCGTAAATCTATGCCCGCTAGTTTTGGACTCTTGTCCCCTGGGGAAAAGACATTGACTCTTCACCCTATCTATGCTCCACCCTCTGTCTCCTACCTTTGAGGCAGTTCTGTATTCAATTGACTAGTTCTCCCTGTATTCCATGTGATCTAACCTTGTTATCCAGTCTGCCATGCAGAGCCTTGTTGAACGCCTCACTGAAGTCCATATAGACCATGTCCACTGCTCTGCCTTCATCAGTCTTCTTTGTCACTTCTTCAGAAAACTCAATCAAGTTAGTGAGACACAATTTCCCACAAACAAAGCCATGTTGACTATCCCTAATCAGTCCTCGCCTTTCCAAATATATGTAAATCCTGTCCCTCAGAATCCCCTCCACAACTTGCCCACCACTCAGGCTCACCGGTCTATAGTTCCTTGGCTTTTCCTTACCACCTTTCTTAAAAAGTGGTACCATGTTAGCCAAACTCCAGTCTTGTTCGATTGCACCCCTGAATAGATATTTCACTGAGAGGAGAATTGAAAATCCCTGCATTCCATAAATTTCAAATTATTTCTTCAGTACTGTGGCTTCGTCTGGCCATCATGACTTGCTCCCACCCAAACCTTATTCAACTTCCTGACACCTTTGCTCTCTGAATAGCATATTAGCCCTTGTTCTCCAAAAAGAAATCACGTTAACTGAATTTAAGATTCATTGCACCACTGAAAAGGGACATTACCTCTGAAGCGCTGTGCCCTGACCCACAGAGCATTAAAATGTACTCTGAGAAAGTGCTCTCTTGTTTTGTCCCCCTAATTATCCAAATGTTTTTCTCTTCTGTCCTGCACCTCCTTCCCATTTGATCTTTTCATTTCCCTACCCTGCCTCATTCATTCTTCTTACCATTAGCAATATTACCCATTCCTACCTGTTGCTCTTTCTTTTGTGTTATCCCTCCTCTTTCTGCTCATCACCTACCTGTCTGTCTCTCTATCTCTATTTCAGCTATTTCCAGCTAAATTTTAGCAATAGGCAAAGTGCATTTCTGGCATTCTTCAGAGGCATCCCATAGCAAAGGCTGAAAGTGGGGTTTACCCAGATTCAGCAGGAAGCAGGACTTGAGGTCCCATTTTACAGATGACAGCCAATTAATTGCCTGCTGCCAACACTGTCATCCAGCAGTGGCCACCACTGGCATTACAGCTGGAGGATGAAGGTGCTTGAATGATGTGCACCCTCAAAGTGATGTGAGTGACAGGCCCCTGGTCCAGACAAGGGGGAGGAGAGGTGTTATTGGAAAGAGACCACCCATTGTTGCTGGGGCCTCCTTTGTGGGCCAAAAAGTGGTTGAAAAGGATCCCCGCCCTCCTGTCCCAATCAGCCATAACTCATTGTGATACTGCCAGACTTCATCTGGAGGACTCGACCCACTATTGGTAAAATGAAGATGGCAAAGACCCTTAAATTGGCCAGTTCATTGGCTCAATAGGGCTCTGCAGGCAGGGCTCATCTTCCCCACTGCTGAATAAAAATGGCCAGAGGATGATAGGCCCGTTACCCAACACCTTCTCCAGCACTTTACCAGGATTCCCGCCTCTGCATCCATCCCAAAAACCTGATGAAATTCTGGCCTTTCAGTGCATTGTAAAAGTTGCTGGTTGAATGGCAAAGGATAATCATATTGCTATACAGTTAAATCTTCTTAAACATGCACCATGCAAAACTGGAAATATTTCAACAGTTCTTTTTGACTGGGATTGTCACTGGGAGAGAAATCTGCCTCTGAAGAGGGGGAAACCTGATGAAATTTCGTGTTTTCATTGGGGTGAGTCCTTAGCCTATATGGTGACAGTTCACCTGACCATTTAGAGCCAGTGTGGATGGAAGTGGATCAGCTGAAGTGTGGAATTCATCTACATATTTGTGCCCCATTCTCCCCTTTGCTGTTGATTGTTACCAGTGCTAGGAGCAGTGTCTTAAAATTGATGCATGCTCAGCAATGGAACTCTTAGAAAACCCTACACTCCATTCCCATCTTCAGGGCCCTGACAATATGGCCCATTGTTTATGCAGCTCACATTCCCTTAACCTTGAAGGCTAAACAATGAACCTTTTGTTGTTCATCTGGCTGTTTTAAAATCAGCATGCTATGAAATAGCTGCAAATATATTATTCCCTGTTAGACAAATGATCTTCGTTTTATATGTCAGAACCAGTTCCCTGAAAAGGGAAACATTGCACCATTTTCATTCATCCAGACAGTTAGACATTTTAATAAAAAGATTGATGGCTTAAATCAGAATTTAAAATGCAGTTGTTTAGGTTATTGATTTGGCTAAGTATAAATTAAATAAATGAATAATACATAAATGTGCAAATCCCATTCAATCTTCATCTCCACCTTCCACTGCATCCCAAAACATAATTTACTCTGTCATTCATTCTACATACTCTCAATATGATGTTCCTGGACTTCCAAAGGTAATGAAGAAAATCTAGAAAATATTCACTTATTTCCATGTTCTTATTATTCTTTCTCAAACTACTGCTGTGTGAATGTGGGGAACAGGAATATAAAGCAATGTTCCGGTTGAATGTAGCTGTTAAACAGTAAACACAGCGTCTGGGCGACATCACTTTCTGCACTTAGTTCAGGTATCAGTTTCAGTGACTTAAGTTAGAATTGTGTCCACCTATTAGAAGTGATGGAAATGTTTTCACCAATCTCTGCCACGTTTACAGTCACAAAGAAAATCTGTGCTCAGCAGTGTTCAGGTCGATGTAGAGGTCAAAACCCTAGCGACTGCTGCCACACTCAGTGTGCTGCTGGATGCACTGGACCTAGAGAATACGATTGCCTGGTAAGAAGGTGCATTATTTGTTGCTACTAATTTCTCTGTTTGAGTTAAGTGTGTTTTACTACCTCTCAAATAAAAGCAAAATACGGATGGTGGACATTTGAAGTAAAAGGAAAGTGCTGGAGAAACTCAACAGGTCTGGCAGGATTCATGGAGAGAGGTACAGAGTTAACCTTTCTAATCCAACAGAACCCTTCTTCAAAAAACGCTGCCTGACCTGCTGAGTTTCTCCAACATTTTCAGTTTTTATTTATTATTTTCAAATATTGTTTATTATCTGTATGGTGTGGAATTTAGAGGATCTTTTTGATGTTATTGAATCTGACTTTTAAACAAAGTATAATATTCTTCCCTGCTGCTGTGGAATAAGAAAATGTAAACCAGCTAGCTCATGGTGTATGACTATTACATATTAGGACGAGCAAGTCACAACATATTGTCTCAAAATACATTGTAACTTTGATGTCAAGATCAGGTATTGAGTTGAAAATCTACTTTTAAAGCCTTAACTTGTATCTGCAGTATCAGTTCCTTACGCATAGTTTGAAAGTAATTTAGACCTGGTGTGTAGTGTTAGGTATTCCTATGCTGGCAGTAGTGGAGACTACCTATCTTGCTCCCTATTGGTCCATTAGGACCCTGAGTCCTGACACAGCTTTTGGCCTCTGCTGTCTACTTGTATTATCAGGGAAAAGTTGGGGAATGGCATTTGGCAAATTGGTCTCGCAGTGAGCCAGTGTAGAAAGACTAGGCTGAATAATTTCATTCTGTGGGTAGAGGTTCCCCTTCCTGGAAATGGTGGGAGAGGTGGCAAGAAGGAGAACTAATTGGCCATGGACAGATACTCTCTCCCTACTCTCCACCATGCCTGGATGGAAGCCCACTAAGGCCTTTACATGTTCAGTTAATGGCCTCACCACCACATTGAATACCTTCCTCTCAGCAGATGAAATACATGCCTGGTTCATCATTGGGAGCCAGGACAATCAACTGCAAGTTTGAGGGCAGGGCCTAAATTTGCCCTAATATGGAGGCAATTGAAAACACAGATGGGGATCAAGGTGGCGTCCTTGCCTCAGACTTCCCTGATCCCCTCTCTCCTCAAGACCCCACCACATCAGAAGCACAAGCAATCCACATACTGTCTCATCATTAAATCCCCTGAAGTCTAGGCCTCAACCAACAGTCTGTTAGAAGTTGGTGATCTAGCTGCTGGTTTCTGGCAAGGCAGACCCCCAGTGTTGAGGCCTGTGCATGTTGTGATCCTCACTAGTCAGCTCCTGATAAGCTGAATGGCTCATAATCTGGTGAACATTCTCAGTTGTGAGGCTGTAAGACAGTGCCACTTTTCCTGCCTGCCACACACTCACGGTGCTGATCAGAGAATCGCTGGCTCTGAATCTCTCAAAAGCAGAGCAACCTTCTTAATCAAACCCATAATCAAACACATCAAACATCAGCGAAAAAAGAAATGGTGCTCTCTTCCCTGTAAAGTCCCTGTGTTGTGGAATACAACAAACACATACTTCATCTTTTATCCTGCCGGTTCTCCTTTGACCTTGGTCCACATATCTGCTTTAGCTGAGGACTGATCTGTGTGCAGGATCAAGGAGGTTTGGCCATATAATCATCGAATCATCAGAATGAGGGCATTCAGCCCATCATATCCCTGCGTACCGTCCAGGAGTGCAACACAACTAGTCCGGCTCCATCATGCTTTCCTCATGGCTATGTAATTCTTCTTGATTCAGATTTTCAAGCAATTCCCTTTTGAAAATGATGATTGACTCTGTCTTTGACTAATTTTTGATTCTCAAAGGAGTTGAGTGTTATTGGGGGGTCAGGCAATTGAGGAAAGTAGATTGAAGGTCCCAATGCGATTTGTTGAATGGTGGAGCAGAATTGGTGGCAGAATAGCCTGCTCCTCCTCCTGTTTCTCACAATCATGCACTACTCTCTTAGTGCTTTCCATAGCTCAACCACTCACTATGTAACTAAAATTCCTCATGCTGACCTAGTTCTTTGCCAGTTACTTTAAATCAGTGCCCTCTGGTTATCAAATCTTTTGCAACTGGGAACAGGTCTCCTTATCTGCTCTGTCCTGAAGTCTTATCATTCTAGGCATGCTTTCAAATCTCCATTTGACCCTCTCTTCCTAAAGAAAAGAAGCCCCAGCTTTGTGTATCCATTCATGTTTAAAAAAAAATCTTTCATCCTCTGACCTATTCTCAACTGTTTTCTGCAGCCTATTCAATGACTTCACATCCTTCCTCAAGTTGGGTGTCCTGAGTCGGACATAGTAGTCCAGTTGAGGCCGAAGCAGGGTTTTGTATAGGTTGTCATAACATCTTTGCTTCTTAGTGTTAGTTCGTTTTTCAAAAGGAAGTCTGGGTGCTAGAATAAGTAACAGTTCTATCACTGTCTTGACAGGCAGCAATAACATGTAATTCATATAGTGGAGCCTACAGAGGGCAATATCCAAGCTGTGCTTTATGTGCCCCATTTCATTACAGTTTTAAAGACCAGTGACTTGACTTCAGTGTTTTATTCTGTGTACTGGCTGTAAGGGCTTAAGGTGAAATAACATTCTGGATTTTGTTTTTTTTTAAATTTGTGACTGTTGGAACTGACCGGCAGGGTTTACAGAATTTGAGTGTTCCATGGGTATTGCAAGACTTCAGTAATAGAAGGACATGTTACTATCAGCAGCAGGTACAATGAGCAGAATGACATAAAGAAGCAAGTGTACTAAATGTGCCAATGTTATCTTTCCCCTCAGGCATGTCAGAGGTTCAGAGATGGAGATACCTGCAAAGAATCATGTCCCCGTTTGGAAGTCTACGATACACGCACGTATCAACTGAAACCTAATCCAGATGGGAAATACAGTTTTGGAGCAACCTGTGTGAAGAAGTGTCCCCGTATGTTTAAATGTTCTGAAAATATTCATTTTTAGCACCAGTTGTTATAAATGGGTAGTTCTTTAGCTATGAAAAAAGCAAACTAAGAGGCGATAGACTTCCACTGAAACTTCACCATCTCATCAGTGATCCAGCTAATGGTTAGCTTGGTGGAAGGACAGATAAAAGGGCCATCATTGTCTTCAATTTATCATGAATTTGATTTCATAAATTGCAGTTTAGATTATAAGCCTCTATAACCCCACCACTGTTTATTGTTATTCATCAAGCGATGAGAAACCAAAATGTTGGAACTGTCTGGTTCCCACTGCTTTTGTGGGTCAGGGAAACCAAATTTCTAGCATGAAAATATTTGGTAAAGGCACTGTGCAACAATGACCCATTGTTGTGAGTAGTTGGGGTCAGTACTGATGATTAAGCGAGGTTCATAATCGGAATGTGCCTATGTATGAACGTTTGGGTCCTTTTGTGTCACTGAAAAACTTTGTATTTCTGACTCCGAATTCGTTCCTCTGACTTTGAAATTAAACTGCTTTTCTGTTGAATTTAGCTGAGCAATATCAATTGAATTTTAAAACCTCTTTTGGATATTGTAATTGTTTGCATTCTTCATATTTTAGATAACTATGTGGTAACAGACCTCGGCTCTTGTGTTCGAACCTGCAGCCCTCGTACATATGAGGTAGATGAAGGAGACCAGAGAAAGTGTAAAAAATGTGATGGACCTTGTCCAAAAGGTAGATAACAACGAACTGTCATTAACATAACATGAACTGTGACTTTTTTTTGAGTAAAACAACATATTGTGCAACAGCTAGTGTTGTGGTTTCTCCTCTACATAAACAAACAGTCTTATTGACCCTATTCCCAGATCTTCCTATCTCCTTTTCCTTCATCCAGCTATCCAAACCAATTTTGAGTGTTGATGTAGTTTCTGCCTCAACCAAAAACCCTGGAAGTGAATTCAATTGGCTCACAACACCTTGTAAAAATGAAGTTTCTCCTGCTGTGTTTTATATCTGTTGCACTGTAATAATTCTGTGATTCTGTAATTCTCAGCCAATCTATTTAACTACTCGAAGCGCTCTGCCTCATTTTACCTTGTCCTATCTTTTCATTATTTTAAAGTTGTTTATGCCACCCCAAAGTGCAACACCCCTGACATTACTGGCATTGAATTCCATCTGCCACTTCTAGCCCTATTCTTCATCTTGTCGCTGCTCCTGCAGAGTTTCCTTAAGACTTCTAAAGAGTTAACCCTACACCTATTTTGGTATCCTCTTCTAGCTTTGGTATGTTTGAGGCTAACATCCAAATCAATAATATATGCAATGAACAAGACTGGGGCCAGAACTCAGCCATGTGGAATACTGCTATCTACACCCAACCATTCTGAAAAACTGTTCTTAACATGAACACCTTGTTTTTTAGCCTTCTTGCCCAAATTTAATCTAGTTTATCCCTCTCTTCCTAATTCTCTACTTCTTAAGCTTCTCTAGTAATATTCACTGTGGCACTTTCTAAATTTCCTCAATATGCTCTTTGACTATATGTGTGTCTATATACAAGAGAAAAAGAATAGATCCTTTTATTTAGGCTGATGTGGAGGGATTTGTAAGGCAGACAACATTGATAGTTGATGGAAGTCTCTTAAGATTTTATAATGCCATTACTTGTTCCATGTAATGTTTAACTAGGGTCAAAGGGCGAGGGTCTTAAATGATTACAATCTTGTTGTAGGGGCAAATTCTGTTTCTCCTGTTCACGTATTGTGTACAACTTAAACATACCCTGTAATAATGGAAGTATGTAGAAAATACCGATGACTTTTCCCCAATTTGTTACTGTTCCAGTCATTAAACTCGTGGTTGAGGAGGGATGAACTGTCTTTATTTACATTTCTTAGTTGGTCATTAATGGTTAATTTAAAAATGGATCCCTTTCCTTGAGGATACTTTTGTCGCAGATTTGATGAACTGATGTTTTAAAAGAAATTTCTGTTCACAGAAGGAATTGAATCTGTGGAATCCCTTTCCGCAGATTGTGTGCTACATTCAAAGCTGAGGCAGGCAAATTTGAAATCTGTAAAGAAGTCAAAGGTTACGCGAGAAAAGCAGGAAATGTAGTTGAGGATTATTAGGTCGGCAATGATCTCATTAAATACTAGAGCAGACTTGATGGGCTGAATGGCCTACATCTGTCCTGAGCCTTATGCTCATGCGGCAGCAGGTTTTTGTTTCTACGTGAGGTTCACTTTGACTAAATTAATGAAAGAAATACAAACCATTATATTGGTCCTGTTCATCCTTTATAAGCAATGTATCCAGTGAGTATGTTATTGGATAAGAAACGGAGTTTCCTCAGGACCAGTGGCTTATTGACTCATGAATACTTTAATGGAGATCATTCATATCATTAAATGTTAAAGCATTGAATAGCAATCAAGTGTTTTTCGTAAACTATTTGTTGAAAAGGCATTTTTTAATGGATATTTGTGGTGGACTGGGGGTTTCCTTTGGACCTTGATTACTTATTTGATCCCACTGGATAAAAAACATGAAAAAGATTTGTTAGCAAAAAGGGAATCTGTTATCTTACAGGATTATGTCATTATGCCCTGTCACGACCAAATTCACGAGATAAAGTTTTTTGACTCTGCTTTGGGTCTTCCAGAGATTTTACGATTGACATGAAAGTGAATCAGGCTCTGCTGAGGAGAGAGGTATATCACAACAATGTTGTGAGCATCAGCCAAGCTACCAGTGGCCCGGGGATCACTCTTTATACCTCTTTCTGGTATCAGAAGTCAATTAAGTGTTCCATGTGAAAGGGAGATGATTATTTCACTATAACAAAAACATCAAAGGAAAGTTAAATTAAAATCTGATTTCTGGTGACAGTGATGCACTCCAGCTCCTCTCCACAGCACCCACCAGCCACAGAAGGCTGCAAGGCTTCTGATGTACACCTCCGTTTGTTCCTTTTCCAGGAGGACAGAGACATGGGTGTAACCATGGCAGCAAGGCAGGCCATCATCTGAAATGAGCCTTCAATTCTCTCTTTATTCATCTTTTGAGAAACTTGAGAAATTAATGATCAATCCCTTCTATAAGGCACTTTTAAGTTATTGTAACAAAGCAAAAAATCACGTGTCATTTCCAGGAGTGCCGATGCACTGTAAGAATCAGCATGAGACTGTTGTCCTCAAATCTGCTTCAGCCTGAACAATAATCAAACCCACACTGTTGGCATTATTCTAACCCTCATGATAATCATCTCGCCTACTGAGCTTACGCCCAAAGTGTCTGTTTGTAACTCTTTTGAAATGCCCTGTTTATAATTCTCTTTTCATGTCATGTGGTTGTTGTCCAAGGCTTACGAATCTACGACTATGGGACCAGGCCAGGAGGCAGTCCCCCAAGCAATACTTAATCCAGAAAAGAGACTGAAACTGCTCAGTTGCATTACTTTGCATCGCATTCTAGCTATTTAGCTAACTGACCGCTCCTTAAGCCTCTTTTTTTTGTGAAGAAACAAATAGGAAATAAACAAATGAAATCAATGAGTGTTCAACTGCTTGGCAAGGGATACTATATATTTAGTGTAACTAAAACAAAAACTTCGCTGGGAAGTTATCAAATTAAAACAACACTTGCAATGATGCAATGCAGCCCACCTCAAAGCCTCTCACAACTCGGTAGATTTAAGTCACTTGCGACTTTAACTTAGACTAGAACTACTGATCACTACTTATTGGAGTTATTCATGCCCCTGAGCTTAAATTCAGTCTGTTTCAGGTATACTCTTCAAGGTTTTATGCCAACACTTCTGGTCTGCAAATAATACTACCTTCGGTATATTCTTCTCACCTCAGCATCCCCAATCTGTACAGTCGTTTTTATCCAAGGACTTCACAATACTGCTTACAACTCAAAATAAACTAATAAAACTCAGTCTAACCTATGGTTTTCCTTCAGTTTTAAAAAAAAGTATCCTTCTAAACTTATGTTAATTTATCTTGCTCAGTTGTAAAACCCTATTAAGGTACACAGAAACCCATTAGTCCTAAAGCCAGGCCTCAAAAATGTTGCAATAAAAATGGTGTAGCTACAGAAATACTAACACATTATTTATTAACTTAGACACACAGAATAACCCATGTTTCTCACCAACTCAGAAACCAAGAGTTTAAACTTTACATAAATGATGTTAAAAATATTTATAAAACACAGAACTTACATCATAACAACAAGTTTTGTCAGGCTGACTGGCAGACTGGTATACCACAAGGATCTGTCCTGGGTCCTCTTCTATTTGTGATTTTTGTAAATGATTTGGATATAGGAGTGGAAGGGTGGATTAGTAAGTTCGTGGACAATACGAAGGTGGGTCGAGTGGTGGATAGTGTGGAGGGCTGTTCTAGGTTACAAAGGGACATTGATAGGATGCACAGCTGAGCAGAGAAGTGGCAGATGGAGTTTAACCCTGAAAAGTGTGAGGTGATTCATTTTGGAAGGACAAACTTGAAAGCAGAATACAGGGTTAACGGAAAGATTCTTGGCAGTGTGGAGGAGCAGAGGGATCTTGGGGTTCATGTCCACAGCTCCCTGAAAGCTGCCACCCAGGTGGATAGAGTTGTTAAGAAGGCGTATGGTGTGTTAGCTTTCATTAATAGAGGGATTGAGTTCAAGAGCCGTGAAGTTATGCTCCAGCTATACAAAAACCTGGTTTGGCCACATCTGGAGTATTGTGTCCAGTTCTGGTCCCTCATTACAGGAAAGATGTGGAAGCGTTGGAAAAGGTGCAGAGGAGATTTACCAGGACGTTGCCTGGAATGGAGGGAAGGTCTTACGAGGAAAGGTTGAGAGAGCTCGGGCTTTTCTCTTTAGAACGACGAAGAATGAGAGGTGACTTGATAGAGGTGTACAAAATGATCAGAGGTATAGATAGAGTAGACAGTCAGAGACTTTTTCCTAGGGTGGAGGTAGCTATTATGAGGGGGCATAGTTTTAAAGTGAGTGGAGGTAGATATAGGGGAGACGTCAGAGGTAGGTTCTTTACTCAGAGAGTGGTAGGGGCGTGGAATGCATTGCCGGAGAGTGCAGTGGAGTCGGCCTCATTAAGGGCATTTAAGCGGCTATTAGATAGGCATGTGGATGATAGTATAAGGTAGGGGTGGAGGTTAGATAGACCTTAGGTTTAGGGTAAAAGTTCGGCACAACATTGTGGGCTGAAGAGCCTGTACTGTGCTGTACTATTCTATGTTCTAACAAGGACATATACTGCATTCAGCTTTCCACCCCCTCATACCAAGTACCCAAAGAACAGGAGCATGGGGCAAAAATGCAAGCAAAAATTGAGGAAAATGCTTGTCAAATAATGGAAAAGGGACCGCAATATTCTGAAATTACTATTAGTATGGAAAATTGACAACTGAAACCTGCAGAAAACGTAAGTGGCTTACGAATCCCTGAACTGATGTAACTGCCGCGTACAGAATGTCATGTGCAACACCTTCCATGTTGAATTCCCAATGGAGAAAGGGAAGACTCCCATGCTGAGAGGCATCCACTGGGGCCCTCATCTCCTCCAGTGTATGGTGGTGTCCAGACAACCAACCAAAGCATGGATATGGAGAGCATGCACCAGTAATCCTTACAGGAAATCTGTCCATGCAGAGTTAAGTGGCACAGAGGAAGTTACCCCAGGGAAGGCTCTGATTGTGTGTCTTATTCTTATGGGAGATTCGAGGTCTGGAGCTCATTGGAAATTCCATGCAAACAGCAGTCAGTTCACACTGGAGCGCACTGTGTTTCTGAGCTGCCTTGACACCATAAGTGCAGTCCAAAGCCTATCCAGTTGCCTCACTTTTCTGCTTTTTCTCCATTCCTTTCAAATCTTTATCCAGTTCCCTTTTGAGTGTTATGACTGAATCTTCTTCCACCACTCATTCTGGCAGCATATTCCAAATTGTACAGAGAAGTGGTTCGAACACCTCTCCAGAGAGTTGAGCACAAAGTCTAAGCACACACTTGCAGACTGCTACACTTTCAGAGGTGCTCATTTTTCGATGAGAGATTAAACTAAGTTCCTGTCTGCCTCTCAGGTGGACCCCTAGGATCCCATAGTGCAATTTTGAAGAAGACTCAGATACCTTGCTCAATATTTATCCCTCATTCAAGGTTACAAAATCAGATTACCTGGCTATTTTTGTATTTTGTAGTTTGTGGGAATGTGCTGTGTGCTAATTGATTGCCAAGCTTTCTACATTAGATCTGTAACTACAACTGAAAACTGTTGCTCATTGTAAAGCAATTTAGGACACCCAAAGGTCATGATGAACACTGCATAAATGCAAGTTTTTTTGATTTTAAAAATGCACACATCACTTCTTCATTATTTGCTTGTTTATAATATCTTTATATCCTCTTCGCTAGAGTGCAGTGGATTAGGAACATCAGCATTGAAGGATACAATCTCGATCAATTCTTCAAATATTGACTCATTTAAAAACTGTACCAAAATTAATGGAAATGTCATCTTTTTATCAGTGGCTTTCAAAGGGTAAGTTATTTCTCTTTCCTTAAAATACTCAAATCTTGTCTCATGTCTGGTGAATCAGTGAGTAGATCTTCTGCCAGATTAAGGGATAACACTAGAACATAGAACAGTACAGCACAGGAACAGGCCCTTGAGCCCACCATGTCCGTGCCATTAAACATTGCACTTTATTTTATTAATTTGTAGGACGTGTGTGTTGCTGGCTGGGCCAGAATTTATCACCCATCCTGAATTGTCACTTGAACTGAATGGCTTGTTTGGCCTATTTCAGAGGGTAGTTAAGAGTCATAAAGTCATAGAGATGTACAGCACGGAAACAGACCCTTCAGCCAAACTCGTCCATGCTAGCCAGATATCCTAAATAAATCTTGTCCCATTTGCCAGCATTTGGTCCATATCCCTCCAAATCCTTCCTACTTATATTCATTCATATGCTTTTTAAATGTTGTAATTGTACCGGCCTCCACCACTTCTTCTGGCAGCTAACTCCATTCATGTACCACCCTCTGTGTAAAAAGGTTGCCACTTAGGTCCCTTTAAAATCATTCCCCTCTCACCTTAAATCGATGCCCTCTAGTTTTGGACTCCTCCAAACTGGTGAAAAGACCTTGTCTATTTACCCTATCCATGCCCCATGTGATTTTATAAACCTCGACAAAGTCACTCCTCAGCATCTAATACTCCAGGGAAATAGCCCCAGCCTATTCAGCCTCTCCCTATAGCTCAAACCCTCCAACTCTGGCAACATCCTTGTAAATCTTTTCTGAAACCTTTCAAGCTTCACAACATCCTTCCTACAGCAGGGAGACCAGAATTGCATGCAATATTCCAAAAGCGACCTAACCAATGTCCTATACAACTGCAACATGACCTCCCAACTCCTATACTCAATGCACTGACCAATAAAGGCAGACATACAAATGCCTTCTTCACTATCCTATCTACCTACGACTCCACTTTCAAGGAACTATGAGCCTGCACTCAAGGTCTCTTTGTTCAGCAATACTCCCCAGGACTTTCCCATTAAATGTGTAAGTCCTGCCCTGATTTGCCTTTCCAAAATGCAGCACCTCACATTTATCTAAATTAAACTCCATCTGCCACTCCTTGGGAGCCATGTAGATAGATGGCAGCATGCCACATACCTGGCTGGGTGCCAGGTTAATAGGATTTGCTTTCTCGTTCCCTTGTGGGATGTGAGCAACACTGGCTCAGCCAGTTTTTGTTGCCCATCACTAATTGCCCTTGAGAAGTAGTTAGAGTGGGTTGGGCTGCATGGGGAAATGTTAGGTTTGCCATTTCCTGTGGAGAAGGCAGGGGTGTAGGGTCCCGGAGTAGGTGTACAGGGATGGTGGGGCGGGGGGTGGGGTGGGGTGGGGTGGTGTTGGAGGGGTGTTGTTGGTGGAGGAATGGTGATGTTGAGTCTGGAAATGAGAGAATGTATGTATTTGGGCCTGCAGTTAGGGTAAGTGGCTTTGGAGTAGAAGGGATTGTCAGTGCCAAGGAAGACAGCAGAGCGTGGGAAGGTGTTGTGCCTAGTGGCGAGTGAATGGGGGTTTGGATCTGACAGCAGTTGAGGAGGAGGGGATGTTGGGTCCCATACAGAGAGGCGAGTGTGCCAGATCTTGGAGGGATGGGGCGTAAGTTGGGTCTGTCAGTGAGGATGGGCGATCATGTCTAGCAGTGGGAGGGGATAATATGTCAGAGCCGGGGGAAAGTGAAGTTATCGGTCATGTGGGGTGGTGTCGGGTCGAGCAGTGGAGAAGAGGGTGTCAGGTCCCGGGGAAGAATTCTGAGGGAGAGGCAGGATGTTGAGTCAGGGTCGGGCGATGTAAGGGTTCTGAGGATTTGCGAGGTAAGTTGGAGATAGGCTGGGAGTCAGTTTAATAATTATTCTAGAGTTAGACTAGTTATTAAATAGTTTAACTTATCCCGAGTAACAATTTACTTAACTGTAGCGGAATCCTCTGAACTTTCCAATTTAAACAGATACTTTCAGAGGGTTCCAGATGTAGAGGAATTGTCCGGTAGAATCTTATATTTCCCAGGCAATTCACTATTGCTGCAAGGTGGATGCCACAGGGTCCATGAGTGCAACTTGCAACACACTTCAGATACTTCGTAATTTGGTTAACTTCATAACTATGTTTTTTTTTACATTGAGTTTCTGCTTCGTTCCTTGTCATTACTAATATTATAGTCTAGGAATACAATAAAAACTCTACCAACAAAATGTATTTGAATACTTTACAAACTCTCATACACAAACAATGTCAATATCACCCTGCAAGTTTAACTTGATTGAGCTATGCTATCCCGATATATACAATCAGCACTAAAAATTATTTAGTTTTCCTGTCTTGACCCAGTAAGGTCTTAACAATGTCTTCATTTGACCATTTGCCTGAAAAATATGTCTTAGGACTTTGTTTTGAAAAATTTGAAGGAGGAAGCATCTAATTGTAGACCTTATAATATGGTATTCCTATAATTTAGATGGACCACAACAGTTATTAGTTTCTAACTACTTAAGCAGCTCATTGATGTAACTCATTTTATCCACTGTTTTGACTGATTAAGTTAATTCTTCTTCTGTTCCATGTGGTATCTTCAATTAATTGAAGGCCAATGAATTACAGATTATGCTGTGATCATTCTGTGGGCAGAGGCAGGCATTAGGCCCCTGAGTCTACCTGAATAAGAATATGGATCAAACTCCATCCTGTTGTCCTTTTAACGAACAACATATTAGCTGTCTAGCCAGCTGAGTCAGCTAACCACACTAACAAATATTGGGCTGTTGGGAATGGGGATAGGAATCCCAGAATCAGGTCTGGTCTGCCATTTTAAAAGCATCACAGAGTCTCCCCAACTTCATGAATATCCAGCCCTGCATAACTACGAGACTACTACTAGACTGTTGTAAAAGCCAGTTCACTAATGTCCTTTTAGGGATGGAAATCTGTTGTTCTTACCAATCCAGTCTAGAATGTGACTCCAGATATATAACAATGTGATTGATTCTTAATTCCCCTGTGAAATGCCTAGCGAGTCACTTAGTTGTGAAGAAGGCAGCTCACTGTTACCTTCTCAAGGACATCTAAGGATGAGTAGTAAGTACTAACTTTCCCCACAGTACTCACATCCACATGTGAATGTTAAAGAAAATTGCAGTCACTCTATTTGCACTGAACTAATTTCAGTTTAAAACTTACCAATTTTATTTTTACTGGCTTGGCTGATTTCTTGTGAATTTTGCTGTGTATCCAGTGTAACCAAATGGAAATCTTCCTCCAAATGTGTGTATTTAATTGAAATCTCACTTGTCCTATGAATTCATGTCTTTCTATTTTAGTGATTCCTTCACAAATACAACTCCTATGCCTCCAGAAAAACTGGAAGTCTTCAGAACAGTGAAAGAAATAACAGGTTGGTTAATTTGAAACCTGCTTCCAGGTCTCTCCATAGTAAAATAGAATGCAATTTATTGGCAAAATTATGTTCTGGAGCAGTCAGGGATCTGATGTACTTTCTCATCTGGGCTGGACTTTGCATTGCTGCGCTGATAGGTTTAAAGGTAGGTGATCTGCCAGTATGTATGAGCTTTAGTCTCTCCCGGGGTATTGGTACCAAATGTGTCAACCTTTATGTTAACTCCCATAACATAAGAGCTAGATGCGTGTAATGCAAGATTGACTAGACATTTCATACATTTCCTGATATATGCATATGTTACGGTCACAGGCAACTCAGTGTCAGAGCTAATACTCAGCTATTTGATAACAAATGGTAAAACACTTCCATCAGTATGGCATGCTTCAAGTAGCCCACTTAAGATGTAGTCTAAGTCCTTGATACCCTCAGGTCTCATGCTAGGATACGGTGATGATACCATGAGCGTGTCTCTTAAAAGTAAATTGCACACTAGATGTAGTGAGTGAGTGTTCTTTCTGCCACCAGCACACCCATTCGTGATTTGTCTGAAATTTTACAGAGGAAAGGGGAGGCTTTGGGCAGCCCATCTGCCTTTCGTTCGATTGACGCACTCAAGTAATCAATAGATAGCCATCTATATCCTACCCTGCCAGTACTTTTAACTGTGGTGGTCAGTGGTTTGGTGTATATGGAACCCTGGAACTTTTACTCTGCAGTCCAGTGCCAGACAAAGGGAGGGGACAACTTTGATTGGAGATCCCCTGGGCCTATTGGAGGCTCTCCCTTACCTACCACCCCACCCCACGCTCACCCAGGTTACACCTCCCCATTTATCATATCCCAGCCCCTGAAACTCACCCTCCAGTCTCTTCAGTAGGGCTTGACAGCTCAGCCCCAGTGATACCCCAAACTTATCTCTAAGTTCATCAATATGGCTGTAATTCCAACAGTAGCCGCTGCTCCCACATGGTGCTGCTGGGATGAGAGAGTTGTCAGCTATCTAATTGGCCGGCAGCTGTATATCCCTTAATATCTCCCCTACATTTAGTCATCATTGAGTTCATATTACCACTTTTAATGACTCTTTTCTAATCTCATGAAGTTTTGCATTTGCTAATATCTAATAATATGTCTTACCAACTTGATAGAATTCTTTGAGGAAGTGACAAAGTTGATAGATGAGGGAAGGGCTATACATGGACTTCAGTAAGGCGTTTGATAAGGTTCCCCATGGTAGGCTGATGGAGAAAGTGAAGTCGCATGGGGTCCAGGGTGTACTAGCTAGATGGATAGAGAACTGGCTGGGCAACAGGAGACAGAGAGTTGTAGTGGACAGGAGTTTCTCAAAATGGAGAACTGTGACCAGTGGTGTTCCATAGCGATCCATGTCGGGACCAGTGTTGTTTGTGATATACATAAATGATCTGGAGGAAGGTATAGATGGTCTGATTAGCAAGTTTGCAGATGACACTAAGATTGGTAGAGTAGCAGATAATGAAAGGAACTGTCGGAGAATGCAGCAGAATATAGATAGATTGGAGAGTTGGGTGGAGAAATGACAGATGGAGTTCAATCCAGGCAAATGCGAGGTGATGCATTTTGGAAGATCCAGTTCAAGAGTGAACTTTACGGTAAATGGAAAAGCCCTGGGGAAAATTGATGCACAGAGAGATTTGGGTGTTCGGGTCCGTTGTACCCTGAAGGTGGCCACGCAGGTCGATAGAGTGGTCAAGAAGGCATACGGCATGCTTTCATTCATTGAACGGGGTGTTGAGTACAAGAGTTGGCAGGTCATGTTACAGTTGTATAGGACTTTGGTTCGACCACATTTGGAATACTGCGTACAGTTCTGGTCGCCACATTACCAAAAGGATGTGGATGCTTTGGAGAGGGTACAGAGGAGGTTCACCAGGATGTTGCCTGGTATGGAGGGCGCTAGCTATGAAGAGAGGTTGAGTAGATTAGGATTATTTACATTAGAAAGACTGAGGTTGAGGGGGGACCTGATTGAGGTCTACAAAATCATGAGAGGTATAGACAGGGTGGATAGAAAGAAGCTTTTTCCCAGAGTGGGAGACTCAATTACTGGGGGTCGCTAGATTTCAAGGTGAGAGGGGAAAAGTTTAAGGGAGATATACGTGGAAAGTTCTTTACGTAGAGGGTGGTGGGTGCCTGGAATGCATTGCCAGCGGAGGTGGTAGAGGTGGGCACGATAGCGTCATTTAAGATGTATCTAGACAGATACATGAATGGGCAGGGAGCAGAGGGATATAGATCCTTGGAAAATAGGCGACAGGTTTAGATAGAGGATCTGGATCGGCGCAGGCTTGGAGGGCCGAAGGCCCTGTTCCTGTGCTGTAATCCTGCTCCTCTGATGCTGCTTGGCCTGCTGTGTTCATCCAGTTCATCCAGCTCTACACCTTGTTATCTCAGATTCTCCAGCATCTGCAGTTCCTACTATCTCTGTAATTTTCTTTGTTCTTTGTTCTAATATCCACCATCCATCTGCCCAGCTCATCAATTAATCCAGGTTGTCCACCATTTCATGATTTAATGAAACCGTTTACCTTTTGTTCAATGCTCCCACTGCCTATTCCATACCATTTGAAAACTTGGAGAGATTTGTTTTTTCTTTCCCCGTTTCCAAATTACTCCTGTGAATGGTTAACACTAATCGCCTAACTCTACCAGTTCCCTTCTTTGTGATAACCAACTTTGAGTACGCTTTGTTTGGTTCCATATCAAATTACTTTAAAAGATATGAAAATAAAACCATTGTGTAGATGATTCAATGTTAAAATAGCTGCATTTGTTCTTTATTAAAAATAACATGGAAAGGAGAGAATCTGTCTGGAGAGCACAGTTTAGTACCGAAGCCCTGCAGGTCTATGCAGTAATATTCTGCAATGTCTTCACGATATAACAGTGATTTGAAGTTAATATGCATTGTATAATTCATTATTAAAATACTTATGTTTCCAAAAGGGTATTTGTTTATTCAAAATTGGCCAGACAAGTTTAAGAATCTTCAGGTTTTTGAAAATCTTGAAATTATACGAGGTCGAACACAACATCGGTAAGTTGTTCATTCAGCTACCATTTATTAGAAACTGTTATTCATGCTAGGAAGGTTTTAAGTTAATTACGTGGTAAATATAATTAAAAGTGCATCTTTTCATTAAGGAATCTTTTGTCACATTTTTAAGACCTGTAAATGAAGACACATGTCATATTAGCGTTTGCCCATTAAAATTATTATATGGAAATGCCTAGGTTCATAATCAATACATAACTTAATATTATGATGTTTGGAGTGCACATGCTTGCTGGCACTCCACCATATTGAATTACACCATTATGATGTAGTAGGATAAATCCTTTTAACTTTAGCCAAACTTTGAGCCTAATTTTTGCCAATCTACTAAAATCCAGTGGGCAAATAAAAAAGAAAATCAGGAAAGAAATTAAAATGTAAACATTTATGTAAAGGCAGTTGTGATTCCAACTTAAGGAAGTGATGCTTCATTTGTTGAGAACCTAGGTCAGACCTCATCTGGTGTGGGGATTGGAGTTAAAACTGCATGATTTAATAATGCCAAAGGTAGTGAAAAAGTGAAACTCTGTCCTTAAAATGTAAAGCTGGACCAATTTTTTTCAGTGTTGAGTTTGATGGTGTTCTGTTAGGTCAGGGTGTTTGAGGCATACAAAGCAAAGCCAAGTTAATTAAGTTGAGGCATAGGTCAGGAATAGTCATGACTGACTAAATGCCAACACAAGCACCAGTGGCCAAATAACCTATTGTTATTCCTATGAGAGGTACTAAGCAAGCAATGGGTTTCATCTCTGGGACAAGACGGGAAAATTGGTTGACAAGACAACTAGACATCTTGTGACTGTCTCCTTAAAACTAGCTGTAAAGTTGGATAAATCTTGGAGAAAAGCAGCTTTTTGTGATGAGGGATTAATTATGACATAGAAGATCTAAAAAGCAATGCCTCCTCCCCCTTCAAAGAAATGTCAAGCTTAGAGATGTGACAACAAATTAGTTATGAGACAAAACCAAAATTCCAACTCAAATCTTGGTCTTCATTTAAGAGTTGTACCTAGGTTGTTGTTAAGTTGATTCTCTTTGACTAATAAGCTGGTGACAATATACTGGGCAAAAAGGTGCCTCAGTGCCTGTGGACGGAGACTTGACTGCAATAACATTAGAGATATTCTAAACTATCGTGAATGGAGAGCCATAATTGGGGAATAAATTGTAACAAAAATGCAAATTAAATCCTCACATGTTTTATCTTCCATTTGTTTTTCGAAATAAAACTGAATCTTAATCTATTTTGAATTTATAAGATGAAGTTTGAATCAGTTTCATTCTATTACTTACTTTTACCATTACAACAGAAAGGAAAAGTAGGGATATTCCAAACTGTTTTACAGCGAGTTTTGTAGTTTTGTTACTGCCTTAATGAAGAAAATATGCAACAAATTTTCTTCAAGAAAAATAGCATGTCCTAATATCAGATACTGTCTTATTGTGGGTATAAATTTACTAAGCTGTTAATAAGAATACTTTGTAGATGGAAATTGGAATATGGATTTGTACAGATAGAGACACTACATAAATGTACATTAATCTGATTTTGGTTGGTTTAGATTTGCAAAACTGTAAAACTACAAAGGACTTAGGAATGCAAAAACAGACAGTGAATGCATCACTCAGGGAAGTTCTTCTTATAAGATGTGTGTTAATCCATTTTATTTGTGTTAAAGGACATAAGTTGTCTTTGACCTTGGACCTAAATAACTGTGTGATTGATAGCTGTAGTTTTCTCTACCTTATGTCTTTTTGTTTCTGTATGTGTTTAGTAGCAGCATATCACTTGCTTTGGTGAACCTGAACATCACTTCTCTGGGATTGCGTTCACTCAAGGAGATTAGTGATGGTCAAGTAAGCATCATCAATAACTCGAAACTCTGCTACGTTGATACCATACAATGGAACAAGCTTTTCAAATCAAGCAGACAATCCTTGAAAATATTACACAATAGACCAAAGGGACAATGCAGTAAGTGAATAATTAAAAGTCTCTTGCATTTGGATTTTTATTCATGTTGAAGTTCTGGAAACTGTTGTTTTCTTTGTTTGAATGAGTCAAAAGCATTGTTATATAAACTCTTTTCTAACTTGGAGCTTGATGCTGTTGGTTTGACAACATTAAACTGTTCTCAATGACTTAATTCCATCAAAATATTTTAAATGTGACATCAAGAGGCTCAAACTAAACAGGAGCCAATGAGAACCAGGAGAAAATCTATGCACTGTTTGGAGTCAATTCTGTCCAATGTTCAACTCCATTCACGATTCTTCACACACTGAAGCACTCTGTCTCCATAGGCACCAAGTCTTGGACAGTGTTCAGGCTTGGGCTGGTAAGTGGCAAGTAACATTTAAGCTGCACAACTGCCATCTCCAAATGGCATCTCCAACAAGAGTGAATCTCACTATCATATCTTGAAGCTCATTACCTATTGCAAAGTTTGTATCACGTAGTTAGCAGCAGCCTCTACTGGTGTTGTGAAGCCCCAAAATGATCAATTTGGTTATTGTGTTCCATTCATAAAATTAAAATGTGTTTCTTGTGTGCCATCCATTTGCAATTTTTTTTTTCAAACCTGAAAGTTGTTTCTTGTTTCTATTTACTTAGTTGCTGAAAATAAAGCCTGCCATCCGCTGTGTTCGGACAATGGCTGCTGGGGCCCTGGACCTTCTCAGTGTTTCTCCTGTCGGCATTATGAACGTGGAAGTGAGTGTGTTGAGAAGTGCAACATCTATGAAGGGTGAGTATGGTGTGAGGCTTTTTGAAGTGCTTGATGAGGCTGTAAAAGATATTTTTTCATTGGAGTTGGGACAGCATGTCAGGTTTCCAGCAGCCAATGATAATCCCAGTGAAACTTCCCAGATTTGTGGTCCGGATTCCATAGCTTGAAAAGGTGCTGAAAACAAACTTAATCATAGTTTTCGAAAGGCTATTTGGTTAAGACTTGGAAGGGGCAGTGTGGAAAGAGCAGAGGAGTAATTGGTAGTTGTTTCAGAAAACTAGCAAATATGCAGGATGGGCTGAATGGCTACCTATCATGTTGTTTGATCCTGTGATTCTGTATGGTAAGTAAGTGCTGATCTACAAAGGACTTAGGAATGCAGAAACAGACGGTGAATGTTAGAAATTAGAAAAGTGGAAAGATTTGAGGGTGAAATCCAGTCCTGCTTCCCAGACTGCATTCTAGACTATCAAGTGGGATTTTAAGGAAACCTTCCCTGACAGATGCAGGCAAACGATCCAATGGCACTATTCACAAAGAATAGCATTCTCCCAGTGTTCTGGTTAATATGTATCTGTCAGATTCATTTAATATTTAAATGCCAAATGGCCTGTTTCTGTTGTATTCTATATATAATATATATGTACATGTGTGTGTATACACTTATAATATATACATATAATCTATTTTTTAAGTTGTTAATGTGACATGGTTGTCACTGGCAAAACCACCATTTATTGCCCATCCTAACTATCCTTGAGATGCAAACGATGATGCACTTTCTAGACCTGTGGTGTAGGAACACCCACTATGGAACGAAAGACAGAATTCCAAGATTATGACTGAGTGCCAAAGAAGAAACAACAATGTACTTCCAAATCAGTTATTTGATAATGTTCCCCGTATTTCCCTCTTCTGTCTATTAAAAATAATTTTGTACGCTGTGAGGATAGGGAGTAATGCCCTTACATATTTTAGCAGAGTACAACCATTTGAAAAGGTTTGTTGATGTATTGGCTGCTCTTTCATTAGATGGAGTGAGAGAGAGATGACTGGTGGTGATTTAACCTGAGGGCCATTACACCTCAGGGGAGAGGTTAGAAAGGAGACTGTCATGGTCACCTCAACCAGTGCAGGAATTGAACTCATGCCATTTGGCATTACTGCACCACCAACTGGCTGTCCAGCCAACTCAGCTAACCAAATCCCCACTTTGACAATTGTGTACTCCCCTCATAGATCTAATTTTCACCTGTTTTACAGTAAAAGTTTTTTTCTGTGCCATTTTGCTTGTGGAATCACAGCAGAAGTATTAGCTATTAAACATTAGAATACTGCATGCAACAACGATTAAAATAACTGGAATACTGCATTTTCATTTCAAAACAAAATCACTATTCATTCTGTTTTCTTGATGGTACTATTGTGAAAATGAAAGATTTGCCTTAAACTCTGGTTCCTGAAACTGCAATGATTGAATAAGACATTTGTGAAAGAAGTCTTAGATTGATGTTAGTTAAATATCCTACAGTCAAACATTGTTTTAATTTTTATTTTCTTACGAAAAAAACAGTACAAAGTGAAAATGCTTTCACCTCAGAAAAGCAGCTAATTTGTTCCTTTGGCCAGCTGTTCTGAAATAGCACATTGTAGATACTCATTTACTAAAATCTGCTAACAGATTTACTTATCTAAAATTTGTTTTCTTTAATATCCTAACAGGAAATAAAATGTTGGTGACCAATTTGAATAAAAACAATGTACTGTGGATGCTGGACATCTGGAATAAAAACAGAAAGTGTTGGGAGAAACACAGTAGGTCTGGCAGCATCTGTAGAGAAAGAAACCGAGTTAATGTTTCAAGTCCAGTATGACAGTTCTGGAAAAGAATCATGTCAAAATCTGAAATATTAATAGATTTGAAATATTAATACCGTTTTCCTCTCTCCACAAATGCTACCAGACCTGCTGAGTTCTCCAGCAATTTCTGTTGTTATGAACCAGCTGGACTTACTTTTGATGTTTAATTTTCTGTCTCAATACTCCGATAGATCCTAGGGAGGCACTTTCCACTTGTGGTTCGTAAATTATGGGAGGTAGTGGCAGGGTTTCTCTTTTGTGGGTCACCTATCATTAACAGACATTAGGCGAATTGCAAAATATGCTTCCTCCAATCAGCTTATCAATCCACGTTCTGTGGATGCTGCTTAATGGCCCGACCGGAGCTTATATGGGAAGTGCAGTTTATTTATGCAGCAGAATGATGCACTACTGTATAACAGCTAAGTTAAGAACTCAAAGAAGCAACCAGACACACTTTATCCTTCAAGGTGAAAACATTTGTAAGGTAATGTTAGAAAAATGTTTCCAAAAGCTCTAGACAACTTCCAAGAGCAACAAAGCATCTATTTTAATATTCCATTCAGTTACCTCCCCTGCTTGTCAGGTAGGAGATGTAGTTTGCATTTATTAAAAACCATTGCTTGTTTCACACAAACGAAAACAACAGAGGCTGCAGTTTGCCCATTGGTCTGCTACATGCATTTCAGCATGTAAATTGGGCATGATTTCTGTTTCTTTATGCTCAGACTATAATAAAGCCTTAAGTAAATTTCTGGGTGCAGAGGTCTTCCCAGTAACAAATCCGTTCCTAATGTAGGCTGATCATTTGGGTGAGTTTGACATTTACATACAATATCAGACTAAAGTGCTGGGACACTCACAATGCACTAACCAAGGTTCCATTTGTCTTTTGGTATCAGTATGAACATGTTTAAGCGAAAATACGATAGTTACTATTAACATTTAATGTCTTTTTAAATGTTACATTTTAAACTATCAATTTGTTCTTTTTTATTCTGCAAAGGGAGATAAGAGAGTATGAGAATCGAAGCAAGTGCATCGAGTGTGACGCAGAATGTAAACCTCAGAATGGGTCTGTAACCTGCACTAGTTCTGTAAGTCAAAATTAAAAATGAGTAAAATTGAAAAATAATACTATTCAAATACAGCACAGTTGGAACACAGCAGAAGCATTAGCTACTAATGGTTAGAAAACTGCATGCAACAGCAATTAAAATGACTGGAATCTGCATTTTCATTTCAAAACAAAAGAAATGATAAGGGCAAAGTAGCTATTAATGGTGGCAAAAAATAGGCATGAACACCGCTAAGGAGACCATGTGGCTTTTAAGAGGCCTTCAGTATGCACAAATAATTGTAGAGTAACAGACTAGCAGAATATCAGCCAATGGTTTCATAGACTGCTGAAAGGAAGTTCATTCTGAATAAAATCAAAATCAGCCCTGATAGATCTTCTGTCCTCTGGAAAATAAATATACATTTTAAAATTAAGGATGAGAAATGCAAGTGTGGGAACTGTTCTGATATTATTGTTCCAAGGTCGATGGGGCTTGGGGCAAGTAAAAAAAAAAAATAGGAGACAATAAATTCTCATATCTAGCCAACTCTTGACGTGAATGCTTATATATCACCCAAACAATATATTTCAGGTGACCACGAGGTGTAAGACCGCACCACAAAAGTGCACCCAATTAATCGTCAAAGGGATCAAATTCCCCCTCTCTGTATATCAAAAACATTGTTTATTCTGTCCTCTGTTCTAAATATCCTGAATTGAATCTCATACTATGGCTTTGTTCCTGACCCCACAGCTACAGCAAGGATGTTATTTTCATAAGGTTTAGAGAAGAGTTATCCTAAACTTGAAATGTTAAGTCTTTTTTTTCTCCACAGATGCTGCCAGACCTGCTGAGTTTCTCCAGTATTCTACATTTGTTCCTTACTTTCCTGATTTGAAATACTTCTAGAACATGTCATTTCATAATGTGCATTCTCATAACCACAAAAAAGCAACTCCATTTTTTATCTTTGCATTCACATTTCAGATTAGCTATGGTGCATTTAAAAGCACTTCGAAATTTGTGCCAAGCCGTCATCCTGACCAATTCTGGAATTTGCATTTATAAATCAGGCCACAAGAGCAACAAATTTTAGGCATGGATTATGGGCCCAGATTCCTTCCAGTGTGGGGGCTCCCAAACCTGTTTTGAAAGTCCAAGCCCTGGGTATCTATAAAGAAGTTGAATTTTTTGACACAAAACACATTAGGCAATGGAGGTTAGCTAGTAATAGAGTCATAGAGATGTAGAGCACGGTAACAGACCCTTCAGTCCAACTCTTCCATGCTAACCAGAAATTCTAAATAAATCTAGTCTCATTTGCCAGCATTTGGCCCATATCCCTCTAAACCCTTCCTATTCTTATACCCATCCAGATGCTTTTTAAATATTGTAATTGTACCTGCCTCCACTTCCTCTCGCAGCTCATTCCATACACGCACCACCCTCTGCATGAAAACGTTGTCCCTTGGGTCCCTTTTAAATCTTTCCCTTTTCACCTTAAACCTATGCCCTTGAGTTTTGGATAACCCCACTCCAGGGAAAAGACCTTGTCTATTTACCCTATCCATGCCCCTCATTATTTTATAAACCTTTGTAACATCACCCCTCAGCCTCCGATACTCCAGGGAAAATAGCCCCAGCCGATTCAGCCTCTTCCTATAGCTCAAACCCTCCAACCCTGGCAACATCCTTGTAAATCTTTTCTGAACCCTTTCAAGTTTCGTGACATCCTTCCTATAGCAGGGAGACCAAAATTGAACGCAGTATTCTGAAAGTGTCCTAATCGATGTCCTGTATAGCCGCAACATAACCTCTCAACTTCTATACTCAATGCACTGACCAATGATGGCAAGCATACCAAACGCCACCTTCACTGTCCTTTCTACCTGTGACTCCACTTCCAAGGTCTCTTTATTTAGTAACACTCCCCAGGACCTTACCATTAAGTATATAAATCCTGCCCTGATTTGCCTTTCCAAAATGCAGCACCCCACATTTATCTAAATTAATCTCCATCTGATCAAGATCCTGTTCTATCCTGAGGTAACCTTCTTCACTGTCCACTACATCGCCAATTTTGGTGTCATCTGCAAAATTACTAACCATACCTCCTATGTTCACATCCAAATCATTTATATGAATGACGAAAATCAGTGGACCCAGCACTGATCCATGTGGCACACTGCTGGCCACAGGCCTCCAGTATGAAAAGCAAAAGAAGGATCCCGACCCAAAACATCAACTTTCCTGCTCCTCTGATGCTACCTGGCCTGCTGTGCTCCTCCAGCTCCATACTGTGATACCTTCACTATCACCCTCTGTCTTCTACCTTTGAGCCAGTTCTGTGTCCAAATGACTAATTCTTCCTGTAGTCCAGGTGATATAATCTTGCTAACCAGTCTACCATGAGGAACCTTGTCGAACACCTCACTGAAATGCATATAGATGACATCCCCCACTCTGCCTTCATCAGTCCTCTTCGTTACTTCTTCCAAAAAATCAATTAAGTTAGTGAGACATGATTTCCCACGCACAAAGCCATGTTGACCATCCCTAATCAGTCCTTGCCTTTACAAATACATGTAAATCCTGTCCTTTAGGATTCCCTCCGACAACTTACCCACCACCGATGTCAGGCTCACCAGTCTATAGTTCCCTGCCTTTTCCTTACCATCTTACTTAAATAGTGACACCTTGTTAGCCAACCTCCAGTCTTCCGGCACCTCACGTGTGGCTGTCGATGATACAAATATCTCAGCAAGGGGCCCAGCAATCATTTCCATAGCTTCCCACAGAGTTCTAGGGTACACCTGATCAGGTTATGAGGATTTATCCACTTTTATGTGTTTTAAGACGTACAGCACCTCCTCTTATGTAGTATGGACATTTTTCAAGATGGCACTATTTACTTCCCCATGTTCTATATCTTCCATATCCCTCTCCACAGTAAACGCTGATGCAAAATACTTGTTTAGTTTCTCCCCCATCTCCTGCAGTTCCACACGTAGGCAGCCTTGCTGATCTTTAAGGGGCCCTATTCTCTCCCTACTTACCCTTTTGTCCTTAATGTATTTGTAAAAAAACTTTGGATTCTCCTTAACCCTATTTGCTAAAGCTATCTCATGTCCCCTTTTCGCCATCCAGATTTCCCTCTTACGTATACTCCTACTGCCTTTATAATCTTCTAGAGATTCACTCAGTCTCTGCTGTCTATACCTGACATACGCTTCCTTCTTTTTCTTGACCAATACCTCAATTTCTGTAGTCATCCAGCATTCCCTACACCTATCTGCCTTGCCCTTCACCCTAACAGAAACATACTGTCTCTAGGCTCTCATTATCTCATTTTTGAAGGCTTCCCATTTTCCAGCCGTCCTTTTACCTGCAAACATCCGTCCCCAGTCAACTTCTTAAAAATTCTTGCCTACTACCATCAAAATTGGCTTTCCTCCAATTTAGAACTTTAACTTTTAGACCCTACATATCCTTTTCCATCACTATTTTAAAGCGATAGAATTATAGTCACTGGTTCCAAAGTGCTCCCGCACTGACACCTCAGTGACCTTCCCTGCCTTATTTCCCAAGAGCAGGTCAAGTTTTGCTCTTCCTCTGGTCGAACGTCCACAGACTAAATCAGAAAATTTTCTTGTAATCTCAGCAAGGAGTCCACTCTCTGAGAAAAGGAAGGACAGATTTGCTGCGTGCCAGGATCCGCTCATGAGAGCTTATTTTCTACAAAGTTTAGTTCACTGGACAGCTGACCATTTCAGAAATCAATTTCTGGTAAAAATTCTATAGCTGTTTTCCACATATATCACTACTAATCTGATGTGTAATAGCCAGAGTTACTTTACCCCAAGGATATGACAACTGAGGATTTGAAACTGAGATTAAATTGCAAATTTCTGTTGAAAGTTCTAAAGAGAAATGTTTTGCTTCCTGGATGTGCCCAATGTCATGACCGTTCTATACTTCATCCTTTGTATTTTTTTCTTCTGGTCTGGTTGTTAATTGAAAAGTGAATGGACAGTACTGAAATGAAGGGTGGGTTGCTTTAAAAAATACATGACTGAATAAATCACATCAGACTAAATTCTCTTCAATTAAAAATCAATTGAGGAAAGAGTCTGTTTTCAGCTTAACAGGCTGTGTGGTAAAGTTCGGAACATTGAATGAGATTAAGAAAAATATTTCTATTACTCACATGAAGCAGACAATGAATAATTTCCTGTTGTAGCACACAGTTTTAACACTGTGCAGAGCAAATCTAGATATTGATTTATAGTGTGATAGATTATATTTGCTTTTATGTAAGTAGCAGGTAATCTGTTGAATGGTAATGTATAATTTGTCTTTTGGGCAATAATATGTTTCTTTTCCCACCTATTACACTTATCTTAATTCCTTCATTTCATTACCTAGGGCAATGAGAACTGTGTAGAATGTGCCAATGTTAAAGATGGCCCACGCTGTGTAAGCAGTTGTCCCTCTGGAATTACAGGAGAAAATAATACCTTGGTTTGGAAGTACACTGATGAGAATAAACATTGTCAGCTGTGTCACCCAAATTGTACCCAAGAGTGAGTAATGTTCCATTCTAGGTAATCTTGTAAGTTACTTTGTTTTAATTGGTCCAAAGCTAAAGGTAATCAATTTAGTGACTAATTTTGAATATCTACAGGATTCAGGCGGAATTTTCCACATTTCTTTCTTCTCTTTTGGACTGGAGTTCTTAAAAAATATTTTTACACCCCTCTCCTCAGTTTTAAATGCACACAGGTGGGTATACAATGTCCATTGTAATGCACGAGGTGTGCCCACTGTACGGGACAGGCTAGTTTACACACCTGATCTCTTTTTTACTTTTTGTATCCACATTGGCTTTGCACAGTGAACACCTCCTGAGGAAATAAGATGAGAAATTTACCTGAGCTTATAATCAACTGATTCTGGATTGCCTGGATGAGCAAATATTAGAAAATGAAGCCTGTCAGGCCCATAATGGGGTCTCAAATGATTGTGCTCCATTTAAATCTAACATTATTCAATTTTCGTTGTTGACTCAACCCTAGCAATACAGTACAGGTGGACACCATCTGAGAAAAATCTCTCTCATGAGCTTAAAGCCTTTTATACTTACAGACAAATCTTACAACTATTGCTGCAAAGACAGACATGTTGTCAAAGCTTTTTCTCGTGGTTGGAAAGTTACTCTGAGTGTCTGAGGCATTGCTATGGTGAAAGTAATGGGAAACAATTGGTTTCCCAAGCTCCCGGGTAACTCAAAAAAGTCGCAAGACTTGACCATATTACTTTCATTTGAAGAGAATACATTTCTGTGTATGAATACATGTTGCTTCTAGCAAATATAAATGAGCCACTTTATGAGCTTGTGATTATTTTAAAGACAAAAAATTTGCAAATGCTGGATTCCAAAGGTAGACAAACAGGAGGCTGGAAGAACACAGCAAGCCAGGCAGCATCTGGAGGAAAGGAGCATCAATGTTTTGGGTATTACCCTTCTTCAGCACTGGATGGAGGGCTTGAGGGAGTTTCAGATAAAGAGGGGGAGAAGTGGGGTAACGGAATGGTGGTGATAGGTGGATACCATTAGTAGGTACGTACTGGTTGGTTGTTAATTGATGTAGGTCTCGGTATGCTCAGAGTTGTTTAGCAAGTGCTGCCCAATTGCCCAAGTCACATCTAACAGTCGATAATTTGTATTGAGTTTTGAAAGAACAAGCTGTTTGAGTAAGTCTGTATTCTGCCTGTTATGAGCAACTGAAGGAACATGCACTTTGATTTGATCAATTCATCATTGGAACCTGTGTCTCGTGTACCTGATATTCAGCTTGCACTGGAATTCATTTATGTCATTGCTTCATGTTGTGTTAAGTAGAATGCCTTTCAGTCTAATAGCAGCATCCTGTTAGTGGAACATACCACTTGTGTCGCCGCTGCACAGCAGCGGGATAAAATGGCTTGCTTAAACCATTGTTCACATTTTGGAGATCCTTTGCCTTTCCTGAGGCAGTCTAAACACTTTTTAGATTCAGAAGTCTTTGGATCGTTTACAAGTTTCCACAAGTGTGCAGTGAGGAATAACTGAGACTAGGATTGCCATTTTCTTACAGGATACTTTTGCTGCATTCTAATTCTTTGTCAAGCTCGCACGTTGAACAACTGACTATGCTCTTTTTTGAAAGATTGCTGATAGGCCCAATCTTACAATGTGGTGCTTCCCAAAGTGATGTCAGGACCCCAAGTGGGGTGGCGAGTTGAAATTTTGGGGTTGCAAGCTCCAAGGCAGCAATCACTGCCACAGAGCTTCCCCACCCCTCCCCTTCCATTCTCACAGATATTCTGTCCCTGGTCTCCTACTGCCATGGCTCTTGCCAACCCCCAACCTCCACTCTCTCAGTTCTCACCAAGGGCTGATAAATTTTCAAGCTTTGGAATGAGGTGACAGTGGAAGAAGTTGTGGGAAGCGCTGTTATTAGCACATGGAGGTATATGGATCCCAATGCGTACTTTGACCAATGAAAGTAGGTTTGCAGTAGACAGTAGTAGAAAACCCTTTAGCAGGCTTGACAACTTGCACATCAAGGAAAGGAGTGTGTTAGACTGCACAGGGTGGTAACTGGCAAGTACGTCAGTGAGAACTGGATTTAAAGAGGATCTCATGGCTACGGCATCTTTTTTTCATGTCATTTCATGCTGCTGCTTTGCAGTTGCTAACCAAGTGATATTTTTCACTCATGATATGCTGCCATTAGTCCTAAAAGACAGTCTGCTATCACGCAATCAGGCAATGTTGTGTATGAGTTTTGGAGCCGGTGTGATGTTAGGTAAATAGGCCATATATCCTAGCAATTGGCTGAGTGAAACAAACAAAATGATCCTTCAGTTGTTTGTAATAGGCAGAACACATACTGTACTTAACCAACCTTTGCTTCTAAAACTCAAAGTAAAAAATCTACTGTTAGATCTGATTCTGCAATTGAGAAGAACTTGCTGAAAAATCCTGACTATGCTGAGCATTACACTACAGCCTAGTCTAAGATAATCAATTGAGCTTACAATGTGGTTCAGTTATATTACAAGAAGTATCATACATTCTGAGACAAGGACCAGTTCTCTGCAAACCAAAACAATATGTCCAAACTTTGCATTTTTTTTTAACTACCAGGGAGCTTGGGTACCTGTAGTTCGCTGTTACTTTCTACGTGGCAACATGTCAGCCAATCAGAGTCAACTTGCCACGGAATCAACTTTCTTTTCCCCAGCATATAAACTGTTCTGATTGTTTGTTTGATATCTAATATTTTTACTTCAGTCCTGAGGAATGCAAGGTGAAAAGCTTCAGCACCATGTCTCTCTATCCGAATAATCTTCAGTTCTGTATGACCAAGAAACTCTTTAAAGTTAAAAATATTCTCTCCTGGTGTGGAAGAACTCTATCTCTCCACACCAGATCCCTGCAAGTTTAATCCTGAGATTGCAATGGTGATCTGTTAAGAATCATGGTTAAGCATACCCTTTGAGTAGAGTGACACAGCATAGCATTGACACCTATCCCTAAACTGGGTGGATCGGCTGTTGGAATGATAAAACAGAAAGAAACTATTCTGGCTATTTTGTCCTTGCCAGCTCTCTGTAACAACAATTCACCTTGTCCTACTCCCCTATCTTTTTCCTGTACCCTTGCAAAATATTTCACTTTGTCAATTGACTCTCTCTCCGCCACACTCTCAGACCAGACATCTCAAACCAGTCACTGTGTAGAAAATATTGTTCTTCATGCCAGTCTTACTTCTTTTATCATCCATCTTAAAAAGAGAGTCCTCTGGCCTTCAATCCTCCCACGAGTAGAAACAGTTTCTTCCTCCCTTGAAGGAAAAAAACCCAGTAAAACCTTTGAATAAAGCATAATGGTCCACGTCGTCATGCTCATACTGGTCCTCTGTTTTGAAATATACAAATCCATGCTGGCTTTCTTGACATTTAAATTTGTCCCTTAATACCATTTCTAGGACACTCTGTATCACCATGGTTAAATGGACCACTGTAGCTTTTGATCAAAGGTAGAACATTTGCAATTCTCCAGTCCTCAGATACTATTCCTGCATCCAAGGAGGATTGGAAAATCCTGCCATGGCACTTGGTGTAATTTGAATTCAATAGTAAAATAAATCTGGTCCATCAATGACCATGAAATCATTTTCAATTGTTGGAAAACCCATCTGGCTCAGTCCTATCTTTTAGGGAAAGTAATTGCCATCCTTACCTGCTGTGGCCTATGTGTGACTCTAGACACAATAATGTTGTTAAATCTTACCTGCTGGCTGGGCAACTAGCTTGAACAATAAATGTTGGCCCAGCCAGTGGCAACCACATCATGAGAATGAATTTTTAAAAAAATTTTCCATTTGATAAATTATTTGATCTGTTCTGAAATAGCCCTCTTTCTCACATGCAGAACTTTTGATTATTTTTCTTCTTAAATTTTGGCCATTTTGTGAAGACTTTCCTATAAAACAGCTTGGATGTGTATAATACAATGAGCCAGGTGAATCAATCTCCTTCCTTGTTCTTAGGATTCGATGCAGAACTATGGCTACAAAAAAAACTGTTCTTAATTGGTTTTGGTTTAACTTGTTTTACTGGGGATAAAATGAATCAAATTATTTAATTGAATTTAATTTAAATAAATTGCATGTGTGTTGCATTACAGATGCAAGGGACCAAGACTTGAGGATTGTGAACCTGTTGGGTAAAGTATTCCAACAAATTTATAATTTCAATAATAATATCTAACTTTGTTGATTACTGCTAGTGTTTGACCTCAGTTGATAATTGTCACTACTTAATCATTTTAAATATAAAAGCAACAGAAATTTGATAAACAAGCCAACTAATGCACCAGAATGAAACACTGTTGAAAAAAATTGTTGTGATATCTCTTCAGATGCTGAACTAATGCTATGGTAGTAGAACAGATGCAAATCATGAGGTGATTTCTTTGCAAGTATAATAATGATATAATCTACATATTTCAACCAGAAGTTGTTGTGCTGTGTCAGAGATCTGCAGTTAATCCTCTCAGATCTTCAGGCAAGCCTATCAATATGCCATTAATAAAAACTGGACTGTAGTTATTTTAAACCTATGACTCAATCAATTTATCATATATGATGTTGCAGGTTAGGAACAGACATGTGCTGTGTTGAATAGTTTTTGTGTCCATTATACTCAAAATGTGAACTGCATTGAGAATTTACACTGTAATAGTTGTTAACAGTGATTGTTGACAACTACAGTTGAGAACTTAAGACTTGTGGGAAACAAAATTGGAATGTTTATTTGTAACTCTATCCAATCACAGCTAGTTAAATTAACTTACAAGAACTTGTATCCAGTCATCGGCCCAAGCCTCTAGAAACAACTCTCCAATGCCCCCCAGCATGAGATAAACCAAAAGATAACCGCCAGCTAATGTGATGGAGAAGGAGAAGACGACTACACCCCAGTCCCCAGGACAATTGCCGCCAAACATGCTTACCCCAACGCTCTTGGAAAAATCATGCTGTCCAGTTCAAAGCTACATTTCTTACCCTCTAACTGAATGTAAAATTCCATCAGTCATAGCTGGAAAATCTTTTACCATGAGATCATTATTCTGTAATCCTATTACCATACATCACAATCTCCAGAGAACAGTGATTGTCAGCAGGGTATTTGAAATTCCAATAACTGACTGAAAGAATCACATACAAGATTTCAACTTTTGTCTTTTATTGTAACAAACAATCTAAACCCAATTAATCACTATTTTGAAAGTGATTACTACTCAATCACAGAAGAGATATTTCCTCTTCATCTTTTCAACACAGCAAAAAGTCTGTGCCATATTCCTCAGAATAGGTTTTCACAAGACCCAGTAAACATCAGTCCAGTTTCCAGTCAGTTCCCTTCTTCCTGTTCTGCTTGAGCCAAAAGGTTGAGAACATCAAAAGTCGCTTCTCTCAGTTTTCAGAGACATTCTGAACTGAACATCAGCAGTAAGGCCCACTCCAATCATTCTTACTCCACACCCTGCTGACTATTCCAGGATGAATCTCTTGAACTCCTTGTTCTCGTGGGTTATGCCTCTTTGACCAGAAATCATCTTTCCTCCTCCATTTCTGCTTGGTAACACATAGAAAATTTGTAGCTTTATTCTCTTTGCAGACCTCACCAACTCCAGTCATTTGCCTCTCTTTGAGATTCTGTCTGAAATTCTGGATTCTGAAAGTCTGTCCACAGTCAGGTCAACGGCTCCTTGTTTTCAGATGTGAACATTTTATATTTTGCTCCCAATAGGTCTCGCCAGGCCTTCCCTATCCCCATAGCAACTAAGCCACCATGCTTGTTGACGTGCAAAAATTGTAAAAGATCATGTGACCCTCTTTACCATTTTACTTTCAGTAAAAGGTAACGAAACACAATCAACATTCATGAAACAAGTCTAAAGTAACCTGTTCCTTGATTGTATATGATTGTGCATTCGAGAAAGTAATGTCCTAAGAAACTGACCCAAATAGCTTCTATGAATTGATCCTCCAGGCTACCCTTGCCAATTTAATTCATCCAAGCTATATGAAGCTTAATAAAATCACCCACAATTATTGCAGTACCTTTCCCACAGGCCCCTATTATTTCTTGATTTGCAATTGAATCAGGGGAGCCTATAAACTTCTCCCAAGAGTGACTTATTTCCTTTGCTATTTTTAGTTTCCACCTAACTAATTCAACTACTGTACTTGATCCTCTGAACAAGCAATTTAAATCAATGATCATTGGTCATTAAAAGCATCAATAAGTTCATAGAAGTGTAGGTACTTCAACAAAAGGAGAAATTATTGGAGTTCTGAGTGCACAGCAAATACATAGGCACCACAACGTTAATAAATTCAGAGTCATGAACATAGAACATAGAACATTACAGCGCAGTACAGGCCCTTCGGCCCTCGATGTTGCGCCGACCTGTGAAACTAATCTGAAGCCTATCTAATCTAAACTATTCCATTATCATCCATATGTTTATCCAATGACCATTTAAATGCCCTTAAAGTTGGCGAGTCTACTACTTTTGCAGGCAGGGCATTCCACGCCCTTACTACTCTCATGCGCACAAACAAATTTATGATTTAAGCAATATAAGAGCAAAGCAGCTGGAAGTGGAGGAATTGGGCAACTATGATGTGGAAGGCCTGAAATCAGGCAACAGGTTTCAGTTATCCTGTCTGTTAACTGTCAAATCCAAAACAATAGATTTTAAAGAACCCAATAATGGAGGCTAATACCCAATAAAGGAGAGAAGACAAACTTTGGCTGTTATTTGGAAGCTGTGAAATGTGTGCCACTGAGTATCTAAAGCCTATAATTGCATTGTAACAAGTAATCATTTCTTACCCATGTAAATGTTCGCTTATCATTTGACCATCATGTTGCCAGAACTTTCTCACAAAAATTCAAGACAATAAGAAGTGCGCATATTCGATCCTTTTAATAATCTGTAGATAAATCTGTCCCAATCAGGAATACCATTTCAGTTTGCTAAAAGTCTATTCAATTAACCAATTTCCAGATATTCACAATAGGTAATTAACACATGCAGATCAGGAAAACATTATACTTTATGTTGAGTAGATCAGACAGTTAAATTATGACTTGATTTGATCCACTATTAAAGACAGAAAGGTAAAAAGATTATTCCATTTTTATTTGAAAAATCTACGGCAATGAAATAACACTAAAAATTTCAATGAGTTAAAGTGCACATATGCAGTTTATTATTAGAACTTAGGCACATTATTTATAAATGTAATTATGTTTGAAATGACCAACGTGAAGAATACAGTTTCAATTCAGAGATACTGTGAGGTACTACATTAGAGGAAAACATCATTGACAAATTCTCTTCCTGCTCCAGGTCTCGCATTCCATCCATTGCTGCTGGAATTGTCAGTGGCCTTCTTGGGTTGGTCATGGTGGCCTTATTGATTGCGATATGCATGAGGAGAAGACATGTCAGAAAGAAGCGTACCTTGCGACGTTTGTTGCAGGAGCGAGAGGTAACGAACTGTAAGAATTATGTTTTCCAAAAGCTGAATCCTAGGGAGATGATGATACAGTGGATGTTGGAACAAATCTCTGCATTTGGCAGTTTTACTCGGGATTTTGGTAATCTACATGTATGTAACTCGCAACTCAGAGGTCAAATTCCATCGTGGCTATTTTTGAAATTGTGGATATAAACAAAAAATTTTACTGACTTGTGAATTAGCATCAGAAAACATCATAGCAAATACATAGGCACCACAACATTAATACTTCTGAATTATAATCAGAAATATAATCAGAAGCCCCGGGCTCTTCAGGCGTGGGAACCCATAGCCCCCAAGTGATCCTGTGTCTGTGTGACTCCACTCCGTATATCATATGGTTAACTCTAAATGTCTTTATGACAAAAAATAAAAAAAAAACAGATTGGCAGTAGTCTCCTCAATAAGGATCTCATAGAATGCTTTTGAGAGAGTTTCTCAAGGAACTAAGTTCTGGAACAGACCAGAGAGAATGCTTTACTAGACTTGGTATTGTGTGAAGTTATAAGATTAATTTATAAACTCAGAGTGAAAGCACCTCTAGGTAGCAGTGAACATTAAATGATTGAATTTTACATTCAGTTTGAGAGGGAGAAGAGTGGTCTAAGACTGGTATTTTAATTTTAAATAAGGGAAATTATGTGGGCTAGATGAAGTGAACTGGGCTGTCAGGCTAGGAAAGTGGTGGCAGACATTTAAAAGGATATTTCAGAATACTCAGAATAAATATATTCCCGCTAGAAAGAGAAATTCTACAAGAGGACCTGTCATCTCTGGTTAACTAAAGGTGTTAAGGAAAGCATCAAACTTAATCTTTATCCTTCTAATTGTGTAAAGACAAGTGGCAGGTCAAATGACTGGCCAGAATACAAAGAACAGCAAAGAATGACTAAATAAAAACCAAAAGAACTGTGGATGCTGTAAATTAGAAACAAAAATAGAAATTGCTGGAAAAGCTCAGCAGGTCTGGCAGCATCTGTGGAGAGAAATCAGAGTTAGTGCTTTGGTTCAGTTCTGAGGAAGGGTCACTGGACCCAAAACGTTAACTCTGATTTCTCTCCACAGATGCTGCCAGATCAGCTGAGCTTTTGCAGCAATTTCTATTTTTGTTTTATAGAATGACTAAAAGTTTAATTGAGACAAATAAATTAGAACATGTGAGAAAACTAGCTGGAAATGTAAAAAAAAGTGAAAGTTTGTATAGGTATCTAAAAAAAGAAAAAAGTAAGTAAAGTATTGCTTCATGAGAGTGAGAATGGGGAGTTAATACAGAATAAAGAAATAGAGAATGTAATGAGTAAATATTTTGCTTCTGTCTAGTAGAGGATATAAAAACATCCCAGAAATCCCAATGAAACAAGAGGTTAAAGAAAAAAAGGGAAATCATGTCTCACTAACTTGATTTTTGAAGAGGTGACAAAGATTGATGAAGACAGAGCAGTACACCTTGTCTGTGTGGACTTCAGCAAAGCGTTCGACAAGGTTCTGCATGGTAGACTGATTGGTAAAGTTAGATTGCATGGGATCCAGGGGGAGCCAGCCAATTGGATACAGATTGCCTTGAAGACAGGAGATAGAGGGTAGTTTTTCAGACTAGGGGCCTGTGACCAGCAGTGTGCCACAAGGATTTGTGTGATCTCCATTGCTTTTTGTCACTCACATACATGATTTGGATGTGAATATAGGAGGCATTGTTAGTAAGTTTGCAGATGACACCAGAATAGGTGGTGCAGTGGACTGTGAAGAAGGTTACCTCAGAGTACAAAGGGACCATGATAAAATGGGCTTTGGGCCAAGGAGTGGCAAATGGAGTTTAATTCAGATAAATGTGAGGTGTTGCATTTTAGTAAGGCAAATCAGGCCAGGACTTATACAGTTAATGTTAGGGCCCTGGGGAGTGTTGCCAAACAAGGAGAACTAGGGGTACAGGTTCATAGTTCCTTGAAAGTAGAATCACAGGTAGACAGGGTGGTGAAGAAGGTGTTTGACATGCTTGTCTTCCTTGGTCAGAACATTGAATATAGGAGTTGGGACGTCATGTTTCAACTATATGGGACATTGGTGAGGCCATTTTTAGAATACTGCATACAATTCTGGCAGCCTTCCATAGGAAGGATGTTGTTAAACTTGAAAGGGTTCAGAAAAAATTTACAAGGATGTTTTCAGGTCTGGGGTGTTTGAGTTAAAGGGAAAGACTGAAGAGGCTGGGGCATTTTTCCCCTGGAGCATTAGAGGTGGAGATGTGACCTTATAGAAGTTAATAAAATCATGCGGGGCATGGATCGGGTGAATAGCCAAGGTCTTTTTCCGAGGGTGGGGTTGTCCAAAACTAGAGGGCACAGGTTTAAGGTGAGAGGGGAAAAATTTAAAAAGGACCCGAGGGTAATTTTTTCACGCAGAGGGTGATGCAAGTATTGAATGAGATGCTAGAGGAAGAGGTGGAGGCTTCTGGATGAGTATATGAATAGGAAGGGTTTAAAAGGATATGGTCCAAATGCTGGCAAATGGGACTAGGTCAGATTGGGATGTATGGTCAGCATGGGTGAGGTGGACCAAAGGGTATGATTCCATGCTAAAAAGGTCACATTAGACTGGAAGGAAGCATATATTCAAGAAGTGAGGGAGGCAGAAACAAGCAAGCTACAAGTCAGTTATCTTGGCTCCTAACATGGAGAATCAATCGGTAAGGAGTTTGTAACTGGGCACATGGAAAAACTCAAGGTAATCAGGAAGAGGTAGCATGGTTTTGTGAAGGGAAATTGTGTTTAACCAAATTATTGGAATTTTTATGAAGGAGTAACATGTACTGTGGATCAGGGGGTATCTGTTCTTGGATTTCCAGAAGATATTTGACAACGTTCCACATAAGAGGCCTTTGTGCAAAGTAAGAGCTCATAGTACAGGTGGTAATATACTTGGATGGATATAAGATTAGCAAGCTGGCAGAAAACAGCTTTCATAAATGGGCCATTTTTCAGTTTGGCAGCATGGGCAGGTGACATCCTGCGGGGTTCTGTCTTGGGCATCAATATTTTACAATTTATATCTATCATTGGATGAGGGGTAATCTTCTTGCACCTATTCCTGACCTGTCTGAAATGTTACAAATAGTGAGGGATGTGTGGGAGCCCATGATGGGCAGTTCATGGCCATTTGAACATAGAACGTAGAACATAGAACATTACAGCGCAGTACAGGCCCTTCGGCCTCGATGTTGCGCCGACCTGTGAAACCAATCTGAAGCCCATCTAACCTAAACTATTCCATTATCATCCATATGTTTATCCAATGTCCATTTAAATGCCCTTAAAGTGGGCGAGTCTACTATTTTTGCAGGCAGGGCATTCCACGCCCTTACTACTCTCTGAGTAAAGAACCTACCTCTGACATCTGTCCTATATCTATCACCCCTCAATTTAAAGCTATGTCCCCTCATGCTAGCCATCACCATCCGAGGAAAAAGGCTCCCACTGTCCACCCTATCTAATCCTCTGATCATCTTGTAGGCCTCATTCTCCACCAGCTGGTATTTTACCTTATTTGGGCAGGAGGTGAGAGGCCCACACCTTAGGTGTGTGGACTGGTGTTTGGTTGGTGTTGGGATACTGCATGTCTGGGTCCAATGAACCCATTGGAGACTCTCCCCCTAAGATCACACCCTCATTAACCCTTTAATCTTGTTTCCAGCACGATAAAAAGCTCTAGCCTGTTGAATCCAATTGCTCTTACATCTCTTTGACTGGTATTTAATCATGTGAGAGGGGGTGAGTTAATACTCCACAGTCTCTCTCTGCCTGATGAAGTCCTGAGTGGCAGGTCTCATGGATGGCCTTCCTGACTGGATGCTATTCAATGCACTGAAGTGGACTTTTAAATCCACGTCTTTGCTCAAAGGCACGCAGTGCCTGGCTAAGGGAACTGGTGTTGGGAAGGGACAGCCTTCCATCCCTTCAGACATCTCTTCCACACCCCCATTCCACCCTCGCCCACTCAGCAACCCCCCTCCACATGATTACCCTCCTGCCCTCAGCGAATTCTGACCTGTGCCCCTCATCAATCTCAGGCCTCTGGAGGGTGCATTGTCAGCAACAGCCTCCACTATCCCAATGATACTAACAAGCAACAGAGGGCTGCTGTCCTCTGATTGACCACCAACTCTCCAGGGGTGGCATTTCCACAGGCCTGCCAGACTTTACTCCCATGGCGAGACCCCTGCCCGTACCTGATTGAATATTAGCAGCAGTGGGCTGAGGCTCTAAATGGGCCTTACCTAGGGCCAGAAGCCCAATTATATGCCCTCAAGCCTCCTCCCATCAAGCTTCATAGGGTCAGGAGCTGCATTTCCTTCTACTCCATGATTCTGCTGATATCACAAACTTTACAGCTCTGTTTAGAGGTTCATATGGCTGCTTTTAAATTATTCTTATGCTGTCGGCTTCCAGACATGAGACCCATGGCATCAGTTGTGACATAGAGATATACTTAAATATTGTTCCCATATCTGATGATCTTTATAGGACTGGTGCATGTGCTGATGCAGCAGCCATATCCATTGATAGCATTGCCATGATCTCTCACCTGCACTGACTAAAATGTCAAATCCACTCTGTACATTCATGGAATTTCAAACAAAGTAGTACTGTTAGTTCACACAAAACCAAACACTGTATCCCCAATCAAACATGAGAGAAAAGTGCAGTTTAACTCACTCTCCCACAATCTAAACTGCAGTGTAGAAGCAAAGACACCATACATAGCAGAGAGAGAATTCTTCCCTTTGGTGAGTAAAATGGATAGTAAATTTACAGTGACTTTTAATATCAAGGCAGTGTGTATATTTTGTCTCTGCTGACTCTAGCTTTGTTCTTAATACAGCTGGTTGAGCCCCTAACCCCGAGTGGAGCTGCTCCAAATCAGGCCCTTCTAAGGATTCTTAAAGAGACAGAATTCAAGAAAATTAAAGTGCTTGGCTCTGGAGCATTCGGCACTGTGTATAAGGTAAGCTATCTCCTAGGCACAGTGCAACACAAGGAAAATGTTTGTCGACAGCAGAATAATCCAAATGTAACATTTTCCAGCTGTATCACAAAAATCTCTGTTAACTTTTACTGTGTTTCAAAATGCCGAACAGTTGACTATGTGTAATTTTTAAAAGGGAAATTGTACCATGGAATTTTTTTTATTGATTGTGATATATTGTGATGGATCAAACTGGCAGGAGGCTAATTCTAGTCAGAACACTGATGGACTGCATTTAACATTCCAAAATGTCACCTGCAAGTACTACGCTGAAGAGTTGAATTAACTGAAAGTTTTCTTTTAAAAGTCAATTTGAGAAGATTCTTAAAGGGAAATGGGAAAATAGTAGGGTGAAGATACTTAGTGAGAAAGTTGGAGAGTAGCATGATTTCGCAGATTTGTGTTCCTGACATTAATGTGAAATAAGATCAGGACTGGCATAGGACACAGCTAAATGAGAAGGAGTAATGGATATGTATACATGATTATTAAAGATTTGGGAAAGATCAAACCAGAATATTACTTAAAAATCCCTACCTAACCACCGTGTGGGGTATCTACACCACAAGGAGTGCAGCAAATGAAAGAGGCAGCTCATCACCTCAAGGGCAAATTAGAATGAACAATAAATGCTGGCATTGCCGACGACAGTAATAGACATCCAATATATGAAAATAAAAACAATAGTAAGATGAGGTGACACTGGTTCTGATGGAGGAGCAAACCAAAAACATTAGAATCATTCAAGACAAAATACATATTAGAATGACGGTCTGGGAAGGCATCTGGGAGGCTGAATTAAGGTGGTGTCCCTCATTTGTTATTTCCATATGATGTTAGCTAGATTCCAGTTTTTTTTTAGCCTGCTAGTAATTTGCAAAATAATCTTTCAAGGTGGAATAGAAATATTCCACCATTGCATAAAACCTGTTGACACATTTTCAGATCAGAGGAAATTTAGCAGATTTGTTTTCATGGCACATAACTTTTCCAAGGAAAAGGTACATCAAAATTTCAGTGCAGAGGACAGTGAGCCTTGTAAGATATTCCGCCCATTTTTAGGGCTGAAAATCCTGAGGTTTTGCTGACACTGCACACATTTTCCCTATAGATATTCCTCCTACGTGATGTTCCACTTGCAGTCTGACCTTCTTTGTGGTGTATCATTCAAAGATGCCAAATGGAGTTAACTTAACTCTTAAACAGTTGGTGATTTTTTTTTGTTTCTAATATTCCTTCATTTGAAATATTTTCTACCAATTTTAGATTTATTGTGAAGATAACTTTTTAAAAAATAGGAGGTGATGGCATAATGGTAATGTCACTTTTTAGTAATCCAGAAACTCAGGATATTGTTTTGGGGACATGAATTTGAATCCCACCGGACAGATGGTGGAATTTGAATTCAAATAAATTTGGAATGAAAAACTATCATAGCGGTGACCATTTCAACTATTATAAAAGTCTATTTTATTCAATACATGTACTTTAGGGAAGAAAATTTGCCACCTTTTCCTGAATTGGCCTACATGTGACTCTTAACTGTTACCAGACAGTGAAGGAGGGGGAATAAATGGCATAGCCAGGGAAGCTCACATCCCATCAATGAATTTTAAAAAAGATATTCAATTAGTTAAAAGGCCTTTTAATTTCAAACCAAGTTTTAATGACTCAGAGGGAACTTTTTAACCAGTTATTTCTGCAAAAACACATGTGTGTATTTCTATCATGTTTTACTGGCTTGAGGATTTCATAATTCTTCTCTGTCAAAAGTTTCTTTTGATGACCTTGTGTAGCCAGTAGAAGTACATTCACTTAATTTTGTATGATGTATGTTTGACAAATCCAATCATGTTACTTGAATGAGTCTTGAGACAATTGATTTTTTTCTAAAATTTCATTATGTCTACAGGGCTTGTGGAATCCAGAGGGAGAAAATGTCAAGATCCCTGTTGCCATTAAAGTGTTGAGAGAAGCAACTTCCCCAAAAGCTAATAAAGAAATCCTTGATGTAAGTGGGTTTTGTGATTGTTGGTTTTAATCCAAACTATCAGGTTGTGCTATATTTTAACAGGAAGATGTGTTTGTCAACTTGGAAATAAAAATGGGAAAATGTGTAGGAATCTCAGGTGCAGTTAAGGGCTAACTGGCTTAAAAAAAAGTTCTACCTTGTCACACATGGGATAAGAAAAGTCAAATTGCACACATTTCATACTCTTTCCCAGGGCCCAAATTGGGCTTTTTGGTTCTTTTATCAGATCTGCTTCTTCATTTGCCATCTTACCATTCTTCCCAGTATTACTGTTTGACCTTGACCAAAGTCACAACTCCAGTTAAAACTAATTTTAGTTTTTACTCCAGCTGATATTAATACCAGTGCACTTCACAATACGCAGATGTTCACGGATTAATTCTGCATTTTCTGTTTCATTGAGAGGAATTACCTCTTTTCATTCTGCATGCATACTGACAGACACACAGCAATTGTCTTCATGTAATGACATTTCTTTGCTTAAACCTATTTAATTTTGCGTGATGATTTCCTGTCATGTCATTCATTGAGAAGGTTTCTAGCTATTGTCAGGGGACAGCTTCCTGTAGTGGTCTGTTTATTTCCTCAAGAGGCCATTGCACTGAGTTTCCTGCAGCATCAAATTATTACTTTTAAAATCACCACTTGTAGATCATAAATTATAACTGGAGACTTTGAGAGCAGAACTTTTGAAGGTGACTGAATCAGTAACAAGAGACATAGACTCAAGATTGTTGCCAAGTGAGAAGCAATTCCTGCAGGTGGAATACTTCATTGTAGCGGGTCATTGAAGCCACAAAATGAAATTAACTAAGCGTTTGAGAAGGGAGGAAAATGTAAGTTTAGAAATGGGCAAAGAGATTGGATTAGAATTGACAGCTTCGATCAAAGAACATAAGAGATGTTGAATGTGCCTAATATTTATGGAAAGCCAAACAGAGTAACCGAGCAATCACAAAACTGCAGCAATCTGAGGAATTTAACATCTCATTGACAGTTTTTTTTTCTAACTCCATTAAGCTGCTGATAAGATTGAGTGCCAGGTCTGTATTGAGGAAAGGATCCACCGTACACTTGTAGTAAGATGAGAATACTTGGAGGTTGGCAGTAAGGAGGGATGGACAGATTGTGGCAGATAATACACCAGGAGCAAGCACCTGCTGGCCCACGAGATGTCATGGAAAAGCACTTAACAGCTGATGCTGGCATTCTTGCCTCCCTTTAGCCACCAGGTTTCTGCAGCCCTTGGGAATTCAAGCACAGAAATTACATTGAAATGGTTCCCAAATCCTGAGGAACACAGCGCTATAAACACTTTGTGACTGTTGACCAACTTTTCCAGAGCAGTTTACTCAATGTCTCCAAACCTTTCATGATTAAACCAGATGAAGGTGCATTTGCTGCACGTTGGCATTGGAGTTTCGTTGCTTTTTGCTAAGTTGATCCCTTTCCTACTGACAAAGTGGGGATAAAATTCCCTTTTATGATTCTGTAACAGGAATATTGTTACTTACCATTAAAATTCTAATTAAAATTAATCTAATGTTCTAATTAAAATTCCCATTCTACATAAAATTACATTTTTTTTCTATCCAATGATTCTTAATGAGGTTTAACTATATTTGAAAAACAATACATGGAGTGCCTTTAGTAAGACACAGTGAAACGGAATTCATTAAAATCCGGTGGCCTTGTTTCTATAAGGTATAAGCAAACATGTTTAAATTTTATATCAACTCATAAAACTAAAATGCTCTGTTTTGTAGTTCTATTCATTTGTATATAATTGTGCGGATTTCCTAAGTCAGTTCGATCAATTGGCTGTATGGCTGGTTTGCAATGCAGAATGATTCCAACACAAAAGGTTCAGTTCATGTACCAGCTGGGGTTACCAGGAAGGTCCGTCCTTCTCAACTTTGCCCCTAGCCTGAGGCATCGTAACCTGCAGGTTAAAGCACTACCAGTTGTCTCTCTCTAATGAGACAGCAGCCCCGTGGTCCTCTGGGACAACACAACTTTAGAGTTATAGAGCTGTATAGCACAGAAACAAACCCTTCAGTCCAACTTGTCCATGCCGATCAGATACCCGAAATTAATCTAGCCCCATTTGCCAACATTTGGCCCATATCCCTCTAAACCCTTCCTATTCATGTACCCATCCAGATGCCCTTTAAAACTTGTAATTGTACCAACTTCCACCACTTCCTCTGGCAGATTATTCCATACACGCACTACCCTTTTCATGAAAAAGTTACATGTTAGGTGCCTTTAAATCTTTCCCCTCTCTTCTTAAACCTATGCCCTCTACTCCCCTACATTGCGGAAAAGACCTTGACTGTTCACCCTATCCATGCCCGTCATGATTTTATAAACCTCTATAAGGTCACCCCTCAACTTCTGATGCTCCAGGGAAAATAGCTCCAACCTGTTCAGCCTCTCCCTATAGCTCAAGCCCTCCAACCCTGGCAACATTCTTGTAAATCTTGCCTGAATGCTTTCAGGTTTAACAACATCTTTCCTGTAGCAGGGAGACCAGAATTGAATGCAATGTTCCAAAAGTGGTCTAACCAATATCCTGTACAGCCAGTATATGATCTCCCAACTCCTATACTCAATGCACTGACCAATAAAGGCAAGCATACCAAATGCCTCCTTCACTACCCTGTCTACCTGCGACTCCACTTTCAAGGAACTATGAAGCTGTGCTCCAAGGTCTCTTACGGTGACTTTGCAGATTTCCTATCTTGTGCCATGCAGAGAACCTTCTTTAACTAATACATCTCTTATAACATGGCTCACGGACATAAAAGAGAAGTGTTGAAACAATCACAAGCATGGGGTCAGATAAAACAGGGCTAGAGCCAATTAAGACATAGAGGGTAGAGTGCACTATGTTCTTATGCATCCTTATGCAAAAAAATTATAATCATTGCACAGCTTGAGAGCAATGCTGACATTTTGTAAAGTACGTAATTTTCTGTTCTCATGGAGAGAAAAATTGCAAAATCATGTTCTGAGGCCTTTTAGTATTAATTTCTATGCAGAGAAGTTTATTATCATGATAAAAAGACTGAATCATTCTCATAATCTTCATAATTCTGCCAGTGACCTGTCCAAAAATTAATTGCTATAAAGGAAATCCCAGAAGAGCTTCTAGGAATGTCAGGCATAATTCAACAAGGTCATTGTGCACTGCAGTTAGAGATTGCAGGATAAGCAAATACAAGCACAGAATGATGGCCTGAAAGCAGCATTGGAGGAGACCTTCAGAAAAAACACAAACGATTTATGGAAAAAGGCAATCGGAATTTAACAGAACATTAATCAAATTTTATGCGCTTGACATGGATTAAGACATCTATTGATTTGTGGAAAACCTAATGCGTTTAAGCTTCATTTAGTGTACTGTGGCAAACTGTTGCATTTATCAAGATAGGGTGCTGAGTTAATATTTTAACTCCTTGTCCAAATCTTTTACAACACAATTAAATTACAATTCTAGCGGTTGTGACCAAAAGCCTTGATGGTTGTCTGCTTCCTCATTCAGCATAGGTGAGCCATTAGTGATGAGGGCCAAGATCCTTATTTTATGTTAGAGAGTATTGTAGAGAGAGTCCTGTCTTTATGAATAATGATCAGGTGCACCTGCATATTTCTGCCCTCAGCTTAGAAATGCTGAGACTGTGGCTGAATTGCTAATATCCCATAAACCCCAGAACAATTCAGAGCTTTGGAGATAGGATAAGGCTCCAAAGTGCTTCACAACAAAATTATCCAAGAGAATATGGTAATGGGTCACATAAAGAAATATTAGGATAGATGACCAACAGCTTAGTCAAACGAGAGGCTTCAAGGATTGTCATAAAGGTGGAAAGGAGGTAGATGAGGTGGAGAAGGGTAGCATGTGAGTCTAGAGCTTGGGTCCTCGGCAACTGACGGCTAAAATCAGGGAGGAATATCTCAGAAGTTTGTGAGTGATGAGAGAATGGAACTTGTTGCGTGTTAGGATTCAAGCAGCAATTATCAATTGATTTAACTCTATGGTCCATGACTCCTCTTAAAACCCTGAACCACACATTAAAGAGAAATGGACCCAATTTCACAAAAAAGTGGGATGATAGGAGATGCATTCCTATCAGGAATGGTCATAAAGTATCAGTCAGGTCAGAAGTGAAGAGTGTAGGTTCACTACTAGCACTTTTACCTTGCAGCAATGAAAACTGGGGGCTCTGAGAATGTGAGTGGGACTTCTGGAATTGGATCCTGCCAACTATTTATAGATGGCTTATGAGTTGTTCTGACAGTGTGTAAATCCAATCTAAGAACACAACAGTCTGGTTTAGCCTCAATTAGTTTTGAGAGAGGGATTGAGTCTATAGCTTGTGACCAGACAATGGCTTCACTCTTCTTTATATTTAGCTGGCGCACAGTTATGCTCACGCATTGCTGGACATGTTGGACCTGTCTTGTTTTCAAATGATATCACCAAGGGCAGCACACAGATTGAAAAATGTAATGGGACTATTGTGTTTTGCCCTTGGTTGACTAATTCTAGGGTATGTGTTGAAGATCAGGTTATTGTTTTATGTTTGCTCTTTTATTGGCAGGAAGCGTATGTAATGGCAAGTGTCGACCATCCCCACGTCTGCCGACTCCTGGGTATCTGTCTCACTTCGACAGTACAACTCGTCACACAGTTGATGCCTTTTGGCTGTCTGTTGGACTATATTCGAGAAAACAAAGAACATATTGGTTCCCAGTATCTTCTCAACTGGTGTGTGCAGATAGCAAAGGTAGTTTCATAGGCAAGCTTTTCATTTTGTGCGTAAATATATGGTCCTGGTCTCTTAAGTGTCAACATACCAGTATGTAGTTTAAAGTATTTATGAATTAACAATGCTAAATCCACTTGTAGCCTCCACTGGGACACAAATTTGTAATGCCACTAAAGAAATATTTTTTTAAAAATATGCACTCCTAGCTGCCTTCAGTCAGCAATTCTAAAGCAGTATGAGATGAATGCAATTTTCCTATATCCTCATCTGAGAAGAACATATCAGACTGTATCAATCTGATGCCTTTTATCTTAGAGGTAAGTAAAGAGATTCACGATTTTGTGGTTTTAAGGAAGACTAGGTCAGATTCTGATAAAGATCAATGTCAACAGCAAAACTAAAGTCATAAACTGCAGTCTGGATCATATGATTTAAGAGGAAAAATGTGTATCCACAAAGCATGGCTTTAATTATATTTAGCTATAATTATGTTCAATTTGTCTTGAGGCGCATAACATCAAGCTCTATAGTTGGCTTTAGAGACGTCCAAGGTGATGGTCATTGAACAAGAAAATTGTTGTCTGATTTTTCTTTGTATTATGTTAAAGAACACAGTGATTTATAAATGATTTCACCTGAAGAGGAACTTGGACTCTATTTCAGGGGAGTAATCAATAATAAGTCTATTCTGCTATGTCAATAGTTTTGAGCAGAGGTTTCTGTAGTTAATGGCACAGTCTGCACAGAGAAACTGTTCAAGCAAATGCTTGTTTTGCGGTTGTGCGATGGGGAGAATTTAATAGGACCAAGGGAAACACGGTTGGGGCAGACTGCTCACAATCCAGGAAGTAGGAAAGATGGCAGCAACAGAAGTAAAAACTGAAAGAACTATGGATGCTGTAAATCAGGAACAAAAACAAAGTTGCTGGAAAAGCTCGGCAGATCTGGCAGCATCTGTGAAGGTAAAAACAGAGTTAACATTTCGGGTCCGCTGACCCTTCCTCAGAACTCACTTCACAGATGCTGCCACACCTGCTGAGCTTTTCCAGCAACTTTGTTTTTGAGATTGATATGAAGCCTGACTTGCATCCATAACTTACTGCAGGTGGGTTAACTTGGTTCAGATCGGCACTTGAGAGTCTTTACGTGGAACGGCTTGAGATGGTTTTCACTATTGCTGATAATTCTAGATGTTCCTGATAATCTGAGTATTAATCAGGCAATGGAAGGAAGGAAAAAGATGTTTGTTGACTGAAGCAGGGTCAGAAGTATGTGAAACACTCAAAAATATTTGTTCAGCCCTGCTAAACCAAGAGACACGCAGCTATCAGACATTCTGTTTAAGTTTGAACATCACTCCCAAACCACTGGAGATTGCGAAAGGCTATTGATTTGGAACATGGAATCAGTTACCCAATGAGGATATTGAAGAATTTATCATGGTTTAGAGAAAGCTGTCTGTTCATTGCAATTTTAGACAATTTCAAGAGAGATCATATTGGAAAGATTTGTTTGTTTTTAAAAAGTGAAGGCATTCGCTATAAATAGCTGGTATTACCAAAATTCATCTTCGACATTGGAGACAGTAAGAACTGTCAATGCTGGAGTCAGAGATAACAGAGTGAGGAGCTGGAGTAGCACAGCAGGCCAGGCAGCATCAGAGGAGCAGGAAAGTTGACGTTTCGGGCCGGGACCTTTCTTCAGAAAAAAGGATCTGGAAATACTCTTCTGAAGAAGGGTCCCGGCCCGAAACGTCAACTTTCCTGCTCCTCT